TGTTTGCCAAAGGCAGTTGCGAAAATCATTTTCGATGCACTTTTTCTTCCCACTTTGCTCATCGTGTGGTGCTAATTTTCCTCTTCGCCGCTCCTGCCAAATTTTTAAGCGCAATATGCACGTCGTTGCGATAGGTTAGTACACTTTATTTTCGCCTTATCTCAAATTTGTTTGTTCCAAAAACATATTTTTTTAATCTCGCCACTATCGCCGCAGACTCTTTTATAAACACGCCGAGTATTTTTTTCGTTGTAACCTTGACAATCAGACTTTTTTATCATCGAATTGTGTTGTTCGCGAATATTAACCGATAACGGACGGTGTGAATCAGCGGGCTGCGTGAAAACGCGCGAAAATTCCCTCGTTATTCGAAAAATCCGAGTGAAACGGCCTGCCTTTTACTGCGTTTCACTAATTTAGATCGCAAAAAGTTATTAATTAGTCGATAATCGAGTTAATTCCGCCAATTGTTTTGCGCTTTCATACTCTAAAAACCCGACGAATGGAGCAAAAATAGGGTGAATGACTCCGGCGCGTTCTAAACACATCGGAAAAAATAAACGCCGTTTTACAGCGTGTGCTTCCTTCGATACTTTCGGAATTTGTTATTACGAGTACGTTCGAGATATTGGGAAATTATCGAAATTTATATCGCTTTGTTCGCAAGACGCAAGCTCGTGGAACAAATACCTCCCGCAAGCGTTGAATTTTACGAAGAAAAATACACAAGCGTTGTCGGTGGAGGCGATAAATTTGGAATTTTTGTTGTGTAAAATGGGTCGGACTGTATAAGCAGTAAATTGGAATTTCCTGACGTTTCCACCACAGTTACAATTTTCACAACTTCGGTGGAATTACTATATCTAGTTAATATTTGTAAAACTACTGAGACTGCAGTAAGAAGTGCGTTAAGTAAATGAGTAGGTGGTTTACCTGTTAATATTTACTGAGGTTTTGAAATTTATAAGTATTTTTTATAAAGTAAACACTCTAGCAAACTGATGGTTCTATGGTTTTATGTTATCATATCGTCTATGTTTTGCTCAGTATCAAATCGCTATGCACTTGATATTTGTCTGAAACCAAATAAATATACTTTTTGTACTAAATAAAGAAAAAAATCCTAGTGCTAATAATGTATTTTTATTTCAAACAAATAATACAAGAATATTCTAATAAGTATAGTCTAAATTACTAACGGAATTTTAATAACACAAAAATGCATATCTACTCTACATATGCATGTAGTGAAATTGGCTTAATAAAGTGATGACTGATGAAATGGTGACACACATTTGTTTCACTTTCTAGCTTTTAACTTAGTTTTGAAATGTATCTTAGTTGAAATTGATATTTTTACAATGCTACATGTTTTGAAAACTGTTCAAAAAATATCGTTAGTTTACAACGATAGACAAATAATTTCCTTAAACTGTCCAACAAATAGTTTTTGTGTTTTCTTTGATTTAACATGCCCAAGGTCGAAGTTTGAAATATTGTCGAGAATGTAAATCTAATATTCTGTGCACATGTGACAAGTATGACGATATACCAGAAAAATTGTGAACAATAATACAGTAGCAGTTTGCATCATAATCTTTATGTGTTATTGAATCAATAATTAATTTTGTTTTTCTATGTTTGTATTTTTATTGGGATATTGCCTGAAAATAAAATGATATGTTTTCGTATTTAACTTAATAATTATGTTTTCTGTGTTTAAGGAATATTTGTCGAAGGAATATGTAGAGGAGCATATTTACATTTTAAAATATAATCAGATCCTAACATATTTATTTATTTATTTGTAGATATGGTTATGACGAATTCTTTTTATTATGATTTTATGGAAAATAAAATTTCTCGAAACGTTTTCCACCGAAAAATAAAAAAATAAGCTTTGAAAAGAACGATTAAAAGATTTTTTTTTTATTTAATTATTTCTTGTACACTCACTTTCCATTATTGATAACATGTCGTCAGGAAGGATAAAACATACGTAGTTCTTTAAATGAAAAAGGCTGTGTATTTGTGGTGAATTATAATCTTTTTTTTATTGTGAATCAAATATCTCGATAAGAAATTTCAGTTTTAGTATGAACATTAATAATAATTATAATTCAGATTAATTTTGTAGTTTTCTATGAATGCTTTGTTTTTGTCTTCAAAAGGAAAAAAACTGACAAGTACATGTTCACTAGGGTGATTCAAAAAAAAAAAAAATTTTTTTTTTCGTGCAAAGAGGTTCAAAAGTTTCTTTTCAACGTAAAAAAATACCAGTTAAAATTTGAGCTCTTACTATTAATATTAAGACCGTCCGCATCGCGTTTTTCTATTTCCCATAAGAATAACATGGGAAAATTTTTGTTTGCACCTTCTGATTTTTATTGCTAGCCCGTCGTGTGTCGTGAAAAAAATGCAATCACATATTTTTATAGAGAATTGAACGCTCTACAAAAAGTGTCTCCTATGATCGTGCGAGAAACCTGATAGTTGAAGAGTTATTTTAGGCTAAAGTTAAATTTATCCAAATTTTGACGTTTTTGATGCATTACAATAAATTTGATGGTCTTATTGGAATAAATCACCACAAAAATTTATACACATTTTAAATTTAGTTTTTTAAACAGTAATTGTTTATAATTTTATGCTATAATAAGGCCAGTAAAACTCTTTCCGAACATTTTCAGCATCAGTGGGTTAAAAAATCATAGTCAGGTTTCTCGCAAAATCATAGGAGACACTTTTTGTAGAGCGTTCAATTCTCTATAAAAATATGTGATTGAATTTTTTTCACGACACACGACGGGCTAGCAATAAAAATCAGAAGGTGCAAACAAAAATTTTCCCATGTTATTCTTATGGGAAATAGAAAAACGCGATGCGGACGGTCTTAATATTAATATTAAGAGCTCAAATTTTAACTGGTATTTTTTTACGTTGAAAAGAAACTTTTGAACCTCTTTGACACGAAAAAAAAATATTTTTTTTTTTTGAATCACCCTAATGTTCACAATACTTTGCAAAATTGTTAAATAAACGATAAAATTCGAATATATTTTCTTTGTCAACAGTGTTAAAAAAGACAGCGTTTATAAAAAATAAAAAAGGTGACGAATAAGATAATTCAGTTAGCGAAGTTAATTAGTCGGGGCCTGAAGTTGTGAGAAATCCCAGATGGATACAGCGAAACATGACTTAAAGCAATTTTTTTTTTTTTGTATCATGTTTAAGTTTGCTTTTTCAGTGACTTGTGAATTAGTTATTTGCTTTTAAAATTTATTATTTCAAAATTAGTGAAAAAACGACGTTTTCGCGTTAGAATGTTCTCAATTTTTGTATTTATATATTTAATATTTACATATAAGGAATATGGTGTGGATGATAAAACGCTGACCAAATGACGTCATCCGTAAAATTTTCAATAGTAAAAGTTATTTAATTTTTAAAAAATAACGTAAAACTTCAATTTAACTTTGAAATTGTAAAGTCGAAGGCTCTGAAACCTTGCAAACGTTTCAACGTTATTGGAAACAACGTTATTGGTTAATCAAAATTTATGCCGTTACGACCCCCCTTAAACCTGTTGACGTCATCTCAAAATTTTGCGAAATAAATCATATCTAAAATGTGCAAAATATAGTTCCTGCTAAAATAAGATCTATTTTGGCAAATGACATACCCGCCAAGAAAATAGAGAGCAGGTGGGCGGGGCTAGTCCCTACTAAAATAAGACTGATTTTGGCAAATGACATACCCTTTAAAAAAAGATAGGGTGGGTGGGCGGGGCTACTACCTGCTAACGTAAAATTAATTTTGGCAAATGAGATACTCTCTAAGAAAAGAGATGGTGGGTTTCCCAAAAATTTGGGACTTTAATACTGTTATTAATAGTATTACACTACACCAGACAAAACTGATTTGAAACAAGTGCGTAGCATGCTTCTTTACATTTACTTTAACATTACAGACATACCTTTTATTTTATTATGAGAACTTAAATAAAAAAAAAAATCAGTAATTAAAATCTGAATACGTTTTATTGTACTTCAAGGACGAGGGAAGTTCGGTCGAAATAACCTTCGACCAATTTTTTTAGTATAGTTCCGATTCAGTTAAAAATATTTTAGAAACTTTTAATAGCAATGACGAAAAAAATAACATCGTCTATATTTTATTGTATTTTATACATTTTTATTGCCTAATGACTATTGAATTTTCCTTCGCCTCCACCACGGTCACATTTTTCGTGACTTCGGTGGAAATGCACGTGTCGTGACTGGGTCGATACTGGCAAAACACCTTAGTGTATTACACAACTTGCATGTTGTGCGATGAGTAGTTGAAACGTCATAATTTATAAGCAAAAAATTGGTTTGAAACGTTGCGTACTAATGGAGTGAATAAAAAAAAACTATTGTGATTTGACAATTACATTTTTTTATTTGTTGCATGTACCAAATACAAAATGTATTTAGATGACACTTCCGTTATCATTTCGCCCGACTATTTGATAAAACGATCTCTAAACCTGTTACACAATCTACTCAGAAACCGTTTCGCTACGAGAGCTTTTCGAAGTGCCACAGTAAAAATCTCGATAACGTTAAACGAACGGCAAAAATTTAATATCTGCTTAATCTCGCGGCTCATGGCGCTTGTCTTCGGCACCGTAATCCAGCGGGTTTCTAGAACAAATTCCTCTTGCCTTCCCCCCGGTTTAAAATCTGCTGAAACTCGTCCACGTGTCGAAATTCCAATTAATCGCAGCGCAGTTGCACGATTGCGTCTATCTAGGAGATAATGCACCGTTGCCCTTGTCCCACATAACGATTTTTGCCTCTATGAGAAATGCATTGACATTAATTTCTAACCGACAATTTCGCACCGGCATCACTTGACCAGCAATAAGTCAACCTCGGTTGCGACATTGTCGGTTATAGCACCCATACTACATTCGGCAATTCTCGAGCAACCATCTCACCACGCTATAATTTCAGTTCTGATTTTAGAGCGAAACCTAGGATGTCCGCTGTAGCCGGCAGGAGGACGTACACCGAGGACGAACTCCAAGCGGCCTTGAGGGACATCCAGTCGGGCAAGCTCGGCACTCGTCGGGCGGCGGTCATCTACGGGATCCCCCGCTCGACGCTGCGGAACAAAGTGTACAAGTTGGCGTTGGAGAGGGAAAGGGAGTCGCATTTGAATAGCTCCACCCCGTTGAAGCTCGACGAAGAGGAGGTGATGGACGACGATAAGGAGTTGTCGGGGGCGGAGGAGGAGAAGGAAGTGGAGAAGGCACTCCAGGCGCCGCTGTGCGACATTCTGAGATTCTCCAACATGGAGATCCCTCCTGAGGCGATCAAGGCGATACTGCAGAAGAAGGACGGGATTGAAGGATGGGCGGGGCTTGAACACAGCGAGGTAGGGCCTTACATACAGAACATCCTACTGGCTTCGCAGAACCTCCTCCAGAAACCTCTGGAGGGCTCGGTCCTCAACAGTGTGGTGCCCGAATTCGTGAAAAAGATGTTATCGGACGAAACGAAAAATAACGGTGATAGTTCGGTGACGCGGCCGAGCCCGTCGAATTCGGTTGGGGTGAAGAAGTCTGAGTCGGACATGGAAACGGAGGAGTCTCCTTCGAATGTGATACTAAAAATTCCGTCCTTTAAACCGACGTCTAGCAAGAACGGATGTGATCTATTCAGGAACACCGCGGAGGGGAGTTTAGCTTCCCCCCCAGTCACGAGTGAGTCGGGCTCTCCCCCTATCCTTCCCGGCAAAGGCATGTCGATTAAGGACGTCAAAGACGTCATCGCTCAAAGCATCAGCCAGAAATTCCAGCAGCCCCTCGAACCGCGGAGGCCCATCATGGAACTAGACTTCAAACGAGGCGGCTTCACGCCGCCCCTCGGTTCCGGCATCTCGGTGATCAAAACACAAGAGCTGCAGCGACCGTACCAGCCTCCTCCCAAGCCCCAGAACCCTGGCCCCACGACGGGGGGAAAAGGCACCCGCCCCAAACGCGGCAAGTACCGCAACTACGACCGGGACAGTCTCGTGGAGGCAGTGCGGGCAGTCCAAAGGGGAGAAATGTCGGTGCACCGTGCCGGCAGCTACTACGGGGTCCCCCACTCCACCCTGGAGTACAAGGTCAAAGAGCGACACCTAATGCGACCGCGCAAGCGCGATCCTAAACCCAACCCCGTGGACGAGAAAATTGCCAGTCTGAAGCAGAACGACCTTCGGAACCAGGAGAAGCTCAAACCCATGATGAAGCCCCCCCAGAAGTTCCCTCCCACGGCGACCTCCCCCAACGGCATGAAGCTGCCTATCTTCGAGCCGGGGATGGCGCCGCTGGCAGGGTACAATCCGCCCCCCTTCCCGTTCTGGCCACACCCCGGCTTCCACCACCTCCCGTTGGACTACGGCCGTCCCATTCCTCCCAACCCCGAGTTCTTCGCCTCCCAGATGATGCAGAAGTTGCAGGAGGAGTCTTCGAGGGGCATCGGAGGGCAGACGACGCCCCCGAACGCTCCAGCGCTGGCCAAGAGCGCCAGGCAGATCGCGGAGTCGCTGCTGGACGGCACGGGGTCGAACGGGTCCTTTCTGGACGGGATCATAAGGTCCAGCTTGGAGTCGGGCGTTCCTCCTAGCGACGACAAGTTGCCGAAGGAGGAGAAGAGCATCAGCATCGAGAGCATGTCGAATAAGGCGCTGTTGGACCAGTTGTGCAGGAACAGCAGGCTGACGCCGCTTTCGAAACCAGCGATGTCGGAGAACAGTTCGGGAGATGAGTCGTACAGGAAGGGAGCTAGTCCGCTCAACTTTACTGCTGGAGGTAAGGCGCACCTTTGACGATTATATCTGATGCGGACTTTTTAATGAGGAATGCACGAATTTAGTTTCTCTTTCCTTCGGGTTATGCAAATTTGTTCGTTGCAGTAATGTGATTGCTGCTTCGTTCTAACAGCACCTGCGGTGCGTGAATTGCTGAAAATATTGTTAGCAATTAGAATTTTATTTATATTACTCTTCTTATTAAAATGTAAAGTCATTGCAGAGAAACTTTTAAGTTTATGGCTGTAACTGTTGAACACGTGAGATGTTTTTAATTTTTTTCATATTTGTTACTAAATGCGATTTTTCTCGACTCCAAGGTATCTATACATAATTGGTCAGCACTGATGCTCATTTGTCAGTACAACATGAACACAAAATGCATTAATCATCATTTTTTTAATTAACACTTTGATTTACTAACGTCTATGTACTTCATGTTGAAGGTACGTTTTACAGTGACCCTAACTGGTTCTTTCTCTTTATTTTTAACAGTTCTATTGATAATGAATTACGACCTAAATTTTTCCCTCTTTAAGACTGTAGTATTTCATCAGATTTTACAAAACACTGCCAGTTTTTCAACATACATATTTCTTGTTCTTGCCCCTTCCATATTTTTTTCCTCGTTTTTATATGTCATTTTCTTATTCCTTTCTTTTGACCACGTTGCATTTGTTAATGAACGTCTCATGTACTCTAGCTTTGGCTATTTTGTGCAGTTTTCTTGTTGAATATGATTCTACTCGTTTTATTGTTCTTTCGGCATATGGTTTAATTGCTTTAACATTATTTCTAGTTTTGTTTTGTATGTCTCTTTATAATTTGATTTTTCTGTTTTATCCTTTTTAATGCATCACTAGAATGCGTGCCTTTTCATAGTAAAAGTTGCTTCCTCTGTTCTCACTATAGGCAGGCTTATAAATAATGACGTGTTTTATATGTTGCCTATCACAAATTATTATGTACTGCAGAAATTGTCAGTTCTGCTTACCAACAGTTTTAATGTTTTGAAATAAAATTCAAAATTTATATTTGATAAACAGTTGTCACACTCCAATAATGAACCTCATAGATTTGAACAGAAACCAATTTTTTACAATCAACCCAGATTTTAAAATTGTAACAAAACCTAAACAGCAACCCATAAAATATGCTAATTTATAAAGAAAAAGAAAACAGTTAACACTGAATAAAGTTCCCTACAAAAATTCACAAAAACCTAAGATATTAAATTCAAACAAGTTGGTCCTCCTTAATATTAATATGAAATCTGAATTATTCAGTTACTCTATAAATATTGAGATTAAACTTAAAAGCGGGAAAGAAAATTGGATTATTTATTTTGTTATTGCAATTTTTTTGTGTATCAATTTATCTGTTGGTTTTTATAAATCAAAGACAAAATAAACAAAAAAATAAAAAGACTTACATACAAAAATTCTTGGTATTGAATCAAATTAAGGAGTAAAGGAAATTAGGATATATGATAACAGTATCATTAAATTTTAAAACATTTATATCAGATTAATCTCGCAATTAGTACCGAGTATATTAATTATAACTGAATTTTGCTCTTAAGATAGATTTATGATAAAATTTTGCTTAAAATAGAAAGTTAATCACTAATAATTATTTACACGTAGTTTTTAGACATTCTTATCATTAATACGTTACTTTGGTAGCGAAATATTAATAGATATAGTACAACTTTAATAGTAATCACTGGAAAAAGTTTTACAAGTTATCGTAACAATAATACCTAACATTTCTACTTGTTTTATCTTATATTCCAAAGATACCAGTTAAAAACTGTTACCAAATTTTTACTTCTCCTGTTTTCGTCTGTCCGTCAGTCTGTCGTGATTTTTATTAAGCAGATAATCTCCGAAACTACTGGACCGATTGTTGTCAAATTTTGTACATAAGTAGGTATATTATGTAAGCTATAAAAAGCTAACCAAAATTTGGTTAATTATCCCTACCAATAATAGAATGACGTCATTTCTAAAATTTTCCTTGGTAAAAGTTAATTCAGTTTTAGAAAATAAGACACTCCTACATTTGTAAATTGTGAATCCGTGTTGAATCTTTATCGTAGATATCCAGATTTTTTGAAAGATATTCAAAGTTGTATAACATTTTACTATTTAAATTTGAAATTGCAAATTTCATTTTCTTTTAACCGCTGATGCTTCCTAAAAGTCGATTCATTCGAAGTATAAACATAAACAGTTGAAGTTGGTTAAGCATGTTAGTTTGCCGGTTGGTTATCTGCTTTAAACATATTTCATATTTTCCGCACTTGTGCTGACTGTTTTTTTTTTTATAATTTTTCAAAGAAGCAGGATTTATCGATAACAAGAGCGAGGGAAGTTCTCTCGAAATAACCTTCGATAAATTTTTGTTTAAAATACTTTTAATAATTACACACACTGTTACATCGAACTCCAATAAAATTATTTGGTGTTTGAGTTCGTGACCGCTTTTCCATTGAACTCTGTTACCTGATCCTTTTTCAATAATTTTAATTGGTGTAAGCGTGTTGACATATCTCAATGAGAACTCGGCGAATGAAAAATGGCAGCCATCAGTTTTGACAGCAAGGTATAACTTGTACTTTGAGTGGAAAAATTATCAGACTGGTTATTTAAAATTAGACAAATACAGTCGCAATGACATTTCAAAAATATTCTAGAGTAATATGGATTTAAAGTTATAAAAATTCATCCTTTGTTTACAACAATTTTGTGTTTGTAATTTTCTAACTAGAACAGCTTAGAGTAGCGCTAAATCTACACATGACGTCACAGAGATATCCGACCACTTCGGGATATGAGATGTGATATTTATTCAACGCTTTCAAAAAATTCATGTAATCTCGACATTTTGTTGGGTACATTTTACTTGCAGTGTGTAGAATAATATGATTATCTTAGAAAATATGTATGTAATGGACTTCTTTAAAACCTTGGGAGCTTACTCACTAGATCGTATCAATAAATTTAACCTGTTGACCTTAATTTATATACTTGAAATTGTGTCCTATGCTGACAAATTTGGTCTATGAATAACGAAAATGATTAATTAAAGTTTTAATTACTTGCAATCAATATTTAATTAAAATGAAATAATCAAGATTAAAAGGAACAACTTTTCTTTTACAAGTGCTCAAGTGGCTCATTTAGTTTGTAGCAATAATAAATTTCTTGTAAAACTCTAAAAGTTATTATACTTGAAACATGATTATAAATTCGATTCTAAACTAGAAGGACTTGTACATATTATTCGTAAAATTTTAGAGTAAAAGGTTTAAATAATTCTCAAAAGAAATAAACAGTTGTACATTCATTTGTGGCAAAAAGTAATTAACATTCCGCGCCAGACTTGTCAAGAGAGCGTTTCTTATTTTCTACGCTTTTTCATAAAACACCTTCATTTAAAACTAATTAATAAATAATAACACAATTATTTAAACTGTTTTAAGTCACTAACGTCAAAATTTTAAAACAGATTTAAATACTTAATATGTTAATTTTTAATACATCTAACAAAGAAAAAGACGGAAAAAACTTTGGTCCAAGATTATTTAGACAGAACTGCACTCGCACCTGAAGTTAAATGTGAGAAAATGTTCTGTTTCATTTATATGTAGGTACATGATATACTTATGAACAAAGAACTTACCGTTCCTGTTGGTTTTACAGTTGATAATATACTTTAAAACACACATTGATGGTCCCAATATTTTATTTTATTTTTTTTTAACAATTTGAACGGGAATTCTTATTTAAATTTTACTAATTTACCATTACTACTTGCGGTGTTAATTTGGAAATACGGTAAAATGTATGGTTTCAACAGCATAGTGCCCCCGCGCATTATAATAGAAGGGTGCTAGGTTACCTTGATGTGACCTTCCCTGATAGATAGATCGGGAGGGAGTTTGTCAACCCTTGGCCTCCCACAAGTTTAGATATTGTTCATCATTTTAGTTTTTTTTTTTTTTAATTTGTTTATTATAAAGTACATGTGAAAGGAATAGAAACTGGTTAACTTAAATTTATAATTATATCTTATATAATAAAATTATATAATTTCTGGAACATTATGATTGCTGCACCCGACATTGTTAACTTTGTTCATTTTTTCGTAGCAGAATATACCATGAGGAAAGTTGCAATTTTTTATATAGAACGATCAATGAGTAGGTAACTATTAAGACCTTCTACGAAAGTTACCTTTTAATGTGTAAAATTCTTTGTTAAGTTTTAGATTTTTTTTCAATTTCAGGATTGTTAACTAATTTAAAAAAAATTGTACCAAAAAGATTGGAAAAATTAACTTCCCGATAAGAGTAATTTCAATTATTTTGGAGATTCATTTAATGAAATCAGAACTAAATGATGAACAGGAAATTAGCTTACAAAAAACATTAAAGTTAATATACTTACCTAAAGTACAAAACTTAGTAATTACATAGTTACACAAATTAGGTTTGAGAGCTGTTTTTAACAGACCTCAGGGTCTAACTAGAAAATGAAAGGAACATGAAATACAAGAGTAAACTAAAGACATCTGGAAACTAAAAAGATAACTGACGCCATCTAGAAATACCCAGTAGAAAAATGTATAGATTTATTAAAAAATTAAAAATATATTTTGAAAAATAAAACCAACTGTAAAGCACAGAAAGAAAAAAAAAACAGACGTGGAGAGGACTGCAACAGAAAGATTTAAGGGAACAAAGGAAATGGATTTTGAAATCAGTTTGTTCATTCACACAAATTTTGAGAGTTTGGGATTTCTAACTGCTTTATAAATTTTAAGAATTTCGAAAAAAATTGAGAGTGGAGCTAAAAAAGCATGCCTAACTTTGAGTTAATCAAACGTTCCGAATCAATGCAAATATTTGAAAATCACAAATTTAACAAAAACAAAGAAAAATCTGAAGTAAAGTAACTGGCGGCAAATTTAAAATTATAACAGTCAACAAGAGAACAAAATTCTAATAAAAAAAAACCATGCAGCACACCGACAGCGGCACCAGAGCGCTATAAGAGTGTGGCGATCGAACTATCAATTTCATTCTAGAGCACAGCAAAAATACCCATAGGGGGCGTTGTAGCACGAGCGGAGTTTAGGGCTCCTGGTTGTGGCTGTTCTCCTACCCACGACGGTGATTCTATCCTATCGGCAAGCACTGCCGCACAGCACCCCTCCATTACGAACATGCCGTACGGGCAGGCCATTACGGTCGCAAACTCGTGGTTGGAAATCCCGGCTATTGGGCCAAGTCGCGACCGTTCCCCTAATTTCTATCCAAGACCTGCGTCTTGATGCAGATGGCGCGAAAAATCCCGCCAGCTCGACTAGAAACCGCGTCCCCCCCTTCTGCCACGTGTTTGTGTTATTTATCTCAATTTCATTTAAATGTTCACTTTCTATAACCCTGATATTAAACTAGAAGTGAACAATTATGGCACTATCCAAGTGATTGGTTACTTAAAACAATTAGCTTTGAGAGTTTATATCGTGGACAAAATACATCCTGTGTTGCGAGAAATCTGTCTCGGTGATATAATTTCCAACGTCGCGAGACAATACGTCTCGGTAATGTGATGATGATACTGATGATAATTGCCTAAGGGGAAAGATTTTAGTCCCCCCGTACTTCAGTCCACGATATTATAAGTTCTACCGCACTTTCACGGTCCTTTGTCCAGAGGGAGACAACGTTAGATTAATGTAACTGCCGTAAATGAACTATTAGCAATCTTGTGTGAAGAATTAAGAAGTGTTATAATGTAACACTTAAGTATAAGCATCCAGAAACCTTATTCATAATTTGATAAACAAAGGATGAGTCGTGACCACGTCAATCTCATGAAATCTCCTAGCAAGTGCTTTATCTAAATAATCTCAGGACCGTTAAATTGTGTTAGAACCAGTTAACGATTAACATCCTGACATGAACTGTTAATTTACAAATAATACAACAAATTTACACCACGTGTTACCGTCGGTCGAGAATTGTTGGGGAAACTGTGACATCGCAATCGGTACGATTCATTTTCGTTAAACAAAGGTTTTCTCTTTTTTATTAACTACCAAACCAACCAAACTTAACCTATCTTCCTTACCGCGTCCTTCACTCACATCAAACAAAACAACAGTGACGCGCCACCTACGCTCTACCAAACAAGTAAACTTCACTACCAACCCTCTACCTACAAATTCCCTAGCAGAACTACCAACTACCTAAAAGAAACTAAACTTGCACATGGTGGCTTATATTTAACGATTTTCTTGTCGTTCTTTTCCGCTCTTTTTTTTTTCAGCGCGAAATTTTAATTCAAATTTGGTCACCACAAGTGATTAATTTATTGTGTTCTTTAATTCTAAGGGAAATTTCTCTGCCTGTTTGGTCAACTTATGTGTTGTGGTCATCACATTTTAATTGGTAAAGGCCCGAACGAGAGAAAACAGGAACTTTGTTTCTTACAAATAAAGAAGGGTTAGAGGAAATTTTAAAGGTTTTTTGAAAATTTTTAAAATGGACAAAGAAGGAAAACCAAAGGAGATAGAGGGCAAAGCAGGGATAAAATTATTGAAAATAGGAATTTATGGGAGAGTTTATGTTGATGTAGGGTTTTATAGAAGATTTTCATAACGAGGTGGAAGGGAAATTTATTATTAATGGCAATTTGTTTAATAATCTAAAGAATAAAGAATTAAATGCTCCGAATTTATGGGATGAGGGGTGAAAATAAATCGCGCATGATGGTATCAGAAGTGGTAGGGTTTCTGTAAATATTATAAGAAAGTGAATGATTGGACATGTTTTTGTATTGCTTAAGTCTAAAAATGGAATGGAATTTTTATTTTCGATTTCGTATGACTGTGTTAAGACCGTCAAGAGAACCTTGAAAGAGGGATAAGATGTCATCTACGTTACAGCCCCAGAATTTAATTTTCTCTGTAAATTGAGGATTTGGGAAGATTTTTGTTTCTATATTGTTTATGAAAATTTCTGCTAAAAATGGAAATAGGGATGATCCTATTGCTAAACCAGTATGTTGATAAAAAATATTGTTGAACCTAAAGAAATCCTGTTTCAAAACTGACTCACATAATGTGGTAAGAGATAAATATTATTCAAATAAAAGGTCACTAATTAATTTAACGGGATTAGAAAGGGGAACCAAAGGGAAGAGATTAGAAACGTCAAAAGAGACAAAGAGTGAACCTGGAGGGATGATTACATGTTTCAATTTTTCGACTAGGTCAAAATTATTTTTGATAGCATATTTGTTGTCAAATGGAGCAACTCTTCTTAACATAAGATTAAGCCATTAGAAAGATATGTATTAACATGGACAATTTACAAAAGAAACTATCGGTCTAGTGGAGTAATCAGGTTTATGAATTTTGGGGAAGCCATTCACAGTCGAGATTTATGTGTGTCAAAAACTGTAAGTGTAATGGAAGTACGTTCCAAGGTAGAACGTTAAATAGACATAGAGGTGGGATCGCGATTCAATTTATTAAAGGAACCATTATTTAAAAAATTATTAACTTTTGTAATATAGTCAACCTTATGAAGAATTATGGTATAAAGCCATTACCTTTGTCGGTTTTTGGCACCACCAGATTCTCATTTTCGATTTTCACTCGTAAAGACTTTATTGATCGGAGTTCAACTTTTGACTTAAATATGTACTAAGTATTAATAATTTTATAGATATTCAGATGTTTGAAGTGACTTTTGTAAGACAGAATTTATTTTCAGAATAACTAAAGGTTTATGGTCATTTTTAAGGTGCGTTAGAATGGTTTCGCATTCAATAGCTAAATTATGTATATCTCTATTGCTAATCCTCTGATGGGCTTTATAGTTAAGTTCTCTTTGACGGATCTTCTCTAACTCATTGTTCAAACTACTACTAAACAACTACCAGATCTAGTAGTCTAGATCTTTTTCTCAAAGTGGCTATAATTAGTATCATACCAAAAAGATACGGAAAAATAGGTCGACGCCACAAAACTTAAAGTTTTATTATAAAATGACATGTTGCGGTACCATCATGAGAGGTAACTGATTAGCTTCCAGAAAACATTTAAAAAGTGATTATATTCAGAACTTTAGCGCAGGCTGTTCAAGCGACTTTCCCGTGATCACTGCATCTATTCTAATTTTAAAAATGAACGTTTTGTTTTGGATGGTGAATTTATGAATTATGCTTTAGGAAAAAGTGAGCAGAAGAGTGAATTGTTTGCGTTTCAGCGTCCAACTCGAAGGACGGCATCCACGACGCGTCCCCCGCCGACGTGCACACGATCGAACTGTCGAACGATTCGAACGAGTCGACGGTGGAGAGGAAGCCCTCGATCTTAGGGTCAAAAGAGGAACCGAACGCGACGACTACGACGATAAACAGCAACAGCACACCACCGGCTAGGATTTACCTGAAAAAAGATCTGGCCAACCCAGACAACCTTCAGCCCGAGATGCTGATGCGCTTCCGGGACGTCCTTCCCGACATGGAGCGGAACGGCGTCGGCGTCGGCGAAGGCATCACAGGAAGTGCCTCAGATAATGACGCGCCTCAAGACTGACACCTAATCGTAAGTGAGAGATTTTTATACTGAAGGTGTAACTAGCAAATTATCCAAAAGCAAATTTCGGTGTTTTTCACCCCCGAACGGGATGACGACGTGGTTGTTAAGTGGATATCGAGCTCGATGACGGTGTTTGTTGATTATTTATTTTTACTTTTTGTTAATTATGGTTTTTTTGATTAGGGTAGTAGTGGTGAGCATCAAAGCAGTCATTTGTATATTAGGTGTTTTTTGACTCAAAACTGTATCCATTATGGAAATTCATCCGCGCGGACGAGAGGCTGTCGGCGAGTCCCCGCACCACCATGTGATAAATGTTGATTTTCTGGGGGAAACCGGGACACTCTGTCGTCCGCCATACATGTTTATTGTTCGGTGTATTTGGCATGTACCAAAATCGTATCATCAGTGTACTCTCTATGTGTCTTCGACGTGGCATACTATACCTCAAAACTGTATAAAGTTCATGTTCACGCATCCGCTGCTTTGATGAGGACGGTTCATACTTGTAATATCGAAAAAACCCATGGGATAGTCCCAGAATTGAAAAATTATATCTATCTGTGATTTATTCAAAATTTTTGATGTATATTTTCTCTAAAAATATCTTAAAATATAAATATTAAAATTAAACAATTAGGGAGTAGTTATTCGGTTGGCGTACTGATCGCGTGACTCAGTTAACCGAACCGACTTTCGTTTAATTCATATGACAATGAAGTGCAATTAGATGGTATATACATAATATATATTTACATCAATATTAAGTAGTATATAAGATATATTAAAAAAATATATTATATATTTCAAAGGAAGCTATTTTGTTCGAGAGATAAAAGATTGACTCAAGGTAGAGTTTAAACGCTTCATTCCCCCCCTTCAACAACCGTCAGACACACAACCAACCACAACCGAACCGATACCGACAGTTAAACCGAACCGGCCAGAAACCGGTTCCTCAAACCAAACCAGATTTCTACAGTACACACATATTTAAGTTGGACCAATGCAGTTGTATATAATGTGGTATGCTTTACATATCGTTTGGCGCCCCCGCCGCCTCCCCACCCATCCAACATGGCGACCGGAAGCCGGCCGGCGCGCCAAAACCAAACATTCCAACCATATATGTGCCAGATTTTTTATTCGCAAAAATTAGAAAAAAAAAACTTAAACGTTTAACACAGATTGTGATCTCGGCCGCGGGCCCTTAGATCATCTCGGAATGCATCATTTTTTTCCTAAAGTTGATTTTTCGAAGCTGTGAGCTTCCCAGTTCTCGTAGTCCTAAGGTTTTAAACAAAAAACACTGTAATTTTAAATGTTTGTGTGTTTCACATTTTGCGCTTGCCAATTAACAGTCGGGGGGAGGCGATCGCGTGGCTGCTCCCCTCCCCCGCCAAAATACTCTCTCGGCTTGATTGTAGTGTACCAAAATTTCGTACATCCGCGCGGTTATAGTAGACGAAGTTTTCAAAATACATAAAAATTAAGCAAGTGTGCCACCATTTTTGTGCAATTTCATTATTCTTGCATTCGTTTTTATGTGATAATTTGTTAAAGACACTTTCTGCGTTCACTTTATACCTTTCGTTTCTTCCCAAAATGTGCGGTCCAAAAATAAACAGTGTATTACAAAAATGAAAAAACCATAAAGTATACGCGTTAAAACACGATATTTTTAGTACGTAAATCTCTAACAGGCTTCAAAAGCACGATATAATCAAAAACGTTGTGTTCGAAAAGTTGTTGTCTTTTTTTATTGCAGTTTTCGTTTACAGTTTATTGTTGTTTTGTTGACAACGCGGTGCAAAGCGGCAACACCGCGCGAGTGTCGAATTTCGGCGCCAAAATTCTCTGCGCTGTTGCCGCCTCGCACGGGACGCTGCATTTACCGTAGTACATAACCTGAAACGGTACGACAGTTCATTTTAGTACAGTTTACGATAATTACGTAATTTTTTTTTGTTCGAAAGTTAAACTTTATTAAAATGGACGTAACTTTTGCTTTTCACCAGACGTGTCAGTATTTCGTTTATTAAATAAAGTAAAAACAAAAACGGACCAAGGTCTTTTTTATTATTGAAATAGACGTTAGAATTATCATTCCACACTATAGCTTTTTCACAACTATAAGACTTCTAATAGTTTCTATGTTATTCCTAATTATTTTTTTACAATACACACATAATTTTAATGATTTTTTATATCAACGTATTTGTTAATTAATTTTAGTTGTTTAGTATAGTGTTACTTAAGTTTTTTTGCTTTACAACCGTGTATATAGTACTGTTTCAGCGCACTTGAATGTTTGTGTGCCTGCAGATTAATACAGAGAAACATTTTTATTACAATTGAAACCTCTGAGCAATTTTAGTTGGAACCATAATCAACAATAGTACACAATTTACCCACATTTAATCGCATTGATGAAGAGCGGATTTTACGTAAAGAAAAGTAATGAGATGATATTTTTATGTATGTTGTGTTTGTTATTTATGTTGCAATATAGGCATTTTGGGTGCGTCGTTTTTATTGAGCACCGCTGTATACGTAATAAATTGGCATTTCCTATCGTCTCCACCGCCGTCACGATTTCGGTGACTTTGGTGGAAACGCACGTGTCGCGACTGGTTCGAGCCAATCACACTTGTAAAACACCCTAGATTATTATACAGAGTGTATACTTAATAAGTAGTTTACGCGTCATTATTTGTTGACAATTTACAGTACAAGAGGTTAGGTTTAAATACCCACACTATAGAGTTTTTGTAAATGAGACACTAATAACCAGGTGATGGCACTTAACTAACGTAGTTTAAGATTTTACTTAGTACATAATGTAAAAGTAGTTTAAATGTAGGAAAGCTCTTCATCAATGTGGTAGCAAAATCAAAAAAACAGGTTCAAACAGGTTCTTCATAAAATGGCATATTGAAAATACACACGCACCGTGCATCACAAGGTTAACGATTGGCTCTAAAAAAATCAAAAATAAAACAACACCAAAAAGTGTCTTCTAATTATTTGTCTAGTCGAAAACGTGTTAAAATTGGTAGAAAAAATGTGATCGGTTCAAGACGAAGACTGAAATCAAAACAAAATTTAACCTTGTACGAAAATTTTTAAATATGCCATCACACAAGTTAATCTCCGTTGCACACACTGGGACCAAAAGTACTGATTCATATCCAAAATATCAAAAATTATATCAAAAAATATTTTTCATCTCGATTCTTTTCTTGATGCTTTAAAAAGTGGTGCGAATTCATTAGGGATAACGTTTTTATTATTACGAAAGGTTTGTTGGATTTTTGTATAAAATGATTCCATTTTTTGACAATATGTTAGATTTAAAAAAAAATGCGACAACGAGACCCTTTCCGCGTGAAACGGTTTCGTTGTCGAGGAATGATTTAAAAGTACTCATATTATAAAATTGTGACTATAAATGCCTTTTAGCGTGAATATTATATTATATCAATTTGTTGTATTTTAACATGTAAAGGAAAAAGGCTAGATGGTTATGTTTCGTTTGTTGTTACAATTTTGTCGCATTTTTTCATTATTTCTCAGTTTTCTAGCTTTTTTCCTAAAATACAACGTGTTCTTGTTCGTAAATATCTGTGACTTGTAAATCATGTTTTATTAAAGTTAGATGTTTGAACAATTGCTTTGTGGGAAATTGTTATTTTCAGAAAATATTTTAAAAACCACAAAAATACAAAAAAAAATACCATACACATTGTATATTTATAATGTAATTCTGAAGTATACCAGTATTTATTATACTGTGGACTACATTAAAATGTTTATGGTTGTTTTATTTCACTCCCTCTTTTCCTTTCACATACATAAGAAGGAAGTCATCCCTTACAAAGCACAAGAGTGTTCCATGGTCCACACTTCAAACTGTTAACTTCTTCTTTGGAAAAACTCTCCAGGTAAACCATTTTGTAAATACACTCACGATTGCCTTCTTTAAGCTGATTGTACTTATTCCAGCCACAGCCATACAGTCTCCCATCTTCTGAAAAAAAAAAAAAAAATAGTTACATGCTTACTTAAAATAATAATACTGAGTTAACATACCACTCAAAACCACAGTATGCTTACTACCACAGCTAACTTTGGCTAGGTTGAAACTCAAATCAAGCACTTGAGGAGTCGCTAGCACCGACACCACATCTTCCCCAGAGTCTTCACGATCAGATAACCCCAACTGACCATGTCCATTCCACCCCCAAACGTACAAATCACCCTCTCCACTAAGAGCAACAGAATGCCACCCTCCTGCGTCAACGGCTTTTATTTTTATACCCCCCAGGGCCTCCACGAGTTTCGGTTCCGGCTCATCTTCCAAACTTCCGTGACCGAGTTGACCACGACTGAAAACCAGTCATGTGATAATTGTCAAAGTTGTCCCGATTTTACCCACCTCCCTCTACCAAACGAAAATACATTACCATTTTTATCCAAAAGAAGGCAGTGTTCTCGTCCAGTTTTCACCTCAATTATCTGGCTGCTGTTAAATTCGAGTTTATTAGGAATGGTATATAAATTCCCATTTCTTGTGAGAGCTACAGGCAGCTTTGAACCCGTCGACACTTGTATGATGCAGTCGTCGGACTCCACGAATTTTGGCACTTGGGTCACTTCGTCGTCGATTTTGAACAAGTCTCCGTTTTCTAATAATACAACAACTTTGTCTTCGTCGCAACAAATTCGTAAAATTTTCGGTTCAAAAGGGACGGTTTTGTTTATGGCGCCTCTAACAACCACGATGCCGGCAACCAGTAATACAATGTAGTGGTAGCTAACCTCAATTTCTTCTAAATCGTTATAAACATGATCGATAAAGTTTTTCACAATGTTTTGAGTGTTGGGAAATTGGCGATGCAGGTTGAAACCGTTATAATACACTTTCATGGTATCGATTTGTTTAAGTTATTTACGCTTGACAGTTTTGTGTTCAGTGTCTCAGGTCACGGTTTGGCTGTTTGAGGGTTAATTCTCACCTTTAAAGACGGAACTTCAACCAGGAAGCATTTTCGATGGTAAGTTTTTCAGTAAAAGTGTTAATTCGAAGAAAGAGCGGAGATCAAAGTTATTTCGTGGCAAAAAATTTTGAGAGCAAATTGCTGAAACACTTGACACAACGTCGCCATGACAACTGCTTCAACAATGTAAACAAAACGAGAAACCACTAGTTCGGTTGGGTATTGTTGGTTGCATATACATTACTCGTAATTTATTATTTATTTATTACTAGTTTATTATTTTAATATACTACACTGGCATCGTTTTGTCTTTTTTTATTTTCACTTGCTTAAACTTAATTATGAGGACTTCGATAATCCACATGGTTATGGTAGTAAAGGTGACACAATTCATTATAATAACACACAAGGTGTAACTACCAGTGACGTCACGCACGACGCCCAAAATGGGTCCTCCAATCATAATACAGAACCCGTTCATCATCATTTCCATGCCACTAGCAGTGGCTAATTTATCAATACTGACATAATCGGGAATCACCAACGACATATACACTTTTCTAATACCTTTAGCAATACCAAGACCCGAAGCAATCGCTATCAAAATGTAAAAATTTGTCGATAAAAGAAAAGCTGAAAGTAATCAAAGTTACTTCGTGTAAAGTTTTGTTTTTTTTTACTCACTGAACCTTGTTAGCATCAAAAGAAACAGGCTACCAGCATACATCCATCGGGGAGACGTAGTGAACAAATTTGCTATATGTGGGGCAAAAAATCGGAAAACGATATCGGCACCTCCTAATACTGATAAAAAAATTGCAATCTGACTAGTGTCTAAACCGTAATCATGAAGCATAAACGGCGTTAAGACTGTGAAGTTTAATTCGGCGAAAATGGCAAGTGCTAGGCCCATCATAATATTTACGAAAATAGGGTCTTTGAGGAGGTCCAAATCAAACATTCTGACTATCGTTATAAAAATATTTTCTTTGAGTTTTTTCTCACTGTTGTGTTCACCTTCCGCCTTCTCAGTTGATCGCGGTTCTTTAATTGTGTCTTCTCCGTTTTCTACATTTTTTGTGTCTTGTTTGTCATGTTCATCAGTTTTTTCTTGATTACTAGCATTGTCATTCTCCGTTACGACATCATTGTTGTGTGTGTCAGTTGTCTTTTCTGTGCTATCACTATTTGTTTCTTCTTTAGGCTCTTCCTTTTTTTCTTCTGTGTTTGTAAGGTTGCTTTTCATTTGAATTTCAACTGTTTCTCCTTGTTTCTCTTCTTTTATTTTCATGTGCCACTTCACTGGCTGTAACAACGTTGCCGCTATAAAGACATGCGCACAAATTCCTCCAAAAATCAAAGTAACACCCTCTGGAGTATATATGGTCATCAAAACACTAATCATCTGAGGAATAAGAATAGGCCCAAATCCTGTAATCGTTTCTGATAAGCCGACTGCATAGCTTCGTCTATCGACAAAGTACGTATAAACTGATAAACTATAAGCTGATTGACACAGTCCCATACCAAGAGCTACAATACAATAATCACCTCAAGTACATCACTACACTAATACATTACAAGTTATGAGCCCATAGGAAATCACAAAGTGTGTGAACGTCTTCGAGTACGACGTAAGTACTACTCCAAATGTCAATAAAAAAGACGCAAGCATAGCGACTTTTCGGCATCCGTACATTTTCAAAAGAACACCATTGATTAACCCTGTCATCATACCAAAAGCTGCATTTAAATTGATAATTAGGGAGCTCTGTGTGGCTGTAAGACCAAGTTCGGCAAAAGTAACATTGAAGATGAGACCAAAACAATGCATTAAGGGTGTTGCAATAAACTAAAACATACCTTTGATATAATGGTAATATGGTAAGTTATGGTACTTACGTTACTTAGAGCGTTCGCGAAGACGATTACCCATCCGTACCCCCCATCAGGCGGTACTTTGTTTGATTTTTTCATCGTGGTCTTACACAATCAAGCGTTGGTCCCAACGGACCAAAAAATTTACAACTATACCGGTTCTTGGGTGTCCAAGAAAAATGAAGTTGTAATAGAGGCAGCAACTGACGACGTCATGGTGCTTCTGGCTATTCTCATTTAAATAGAGACAGATGCGCAGTGTTTTTTGAATATGTGCCAGTAGGGAATTTGGGGTTATAATCGCCGGGAGGTGAATAGGTTATCTTTAGAGGATTTCCAACTGGTGGGGAAATAACATGACTTTGTTCTCTTAAGCAGAAAATATCGTTTCGTGGAATATCGGAATTAAAGGATTGAACTTAATCGACCTTGAACCATTAGTGCAGGTCACATGCAGCCAGTTAATGAACCAGTAGCAAACAAACACATCAATTATAATTCTGAAACTGGTTGGTTATAGAGGAATTTATCAAAATTTTAAATTCTAAGCGTGTCCTATGGAGATCGTTTTTGCATTTTAATTTATGTAGGAAATTTTGGCGATGAAAGTCGTTTGCCATTTATTTTTTAACAATAAAGTAATATGTTACTTAACATTTATATTTGTTTTAACCTTGATAACTTTATTGGGCTATTTTGGAATTAAAATCATTTATGTTATATGTTACTTATGTGCTTTCAAATATTTCATTTTAATTATATGAAGACTTGAAAAGTAATTTTATATCTTCAGTTGTATCTGCAGGTTTTTTATTTGTGTGCACTTTACTTAAATTTTTGAAAGTATTAAATGCGCACAATTTTTTGTTTCTAATATTCATCTGGACGCTAAATTTACCCACTCAAGTAGGACCATTTTGGTGAATATTCCTTTTAATTACCTACTAAATTATTGTAATTGTATTGTATTCCCTTTAAAAGTGTATGACGTCACCTAAAAATATTGTTAATTAAGTCTCATTTGAATATACCTTTCACTGCGATTTAAAAATTCACATCTAAGTTGGGTCTGCTCACTTCAATAAGTTTGATGAGACTATGGCTTAAAGATATATTAATTAATATTGACTCAACAAAATTGATAACGTATGTACGCCATCTTTGATATATACCTACATACACATTTTCTGACCTAAAATATATCTGTAGATGTATATGTGTCTTTGCATTAAACTTCAAAAATTTTACAGATTGTTTTAATTCCCAAGTATGAACTAATTGAAATGTTAGAAAAAGATTATTTTGAGGAATGCCTTGTCTAATTTTGTTTCCTCGATGTCCACAGCTACTGGAATACGGAAATGTCGGTTTTCGTTTCCGTGAAATTCACTTTTAAGATATGATAGATTGAGCTACTATAATCAACAAGTAGTAATTAGTTGCTACGAGAAAAGGGAACTAGACATACAATTAAAATTATGACATTATTTGTGTTGGTATAATTTACTAGATACTTCGCTACTTTGATGCAGAATCTGTACGTCTCCTGGAGAAACTAAACACCTACAGCATTTCCTTACCGTGTAGTGATTATAATTTTACGAATTGTACACATTTCACTTCCGTGCAGTGATTTCCTGAAGGAAATGGTGTCTACTTTGGCATAGAAGTTAGTCCTGGTTGAAATCCACAGACGTTAAACTCTATAGTAAAAAAATACAAGCAGAAACGAAACAACAACAAAGAAGTATGAGGTTTCATTTAAATCCAGAAAATGTTTTAAAATTAAAATGAGAAATAACCACGAAAAAGTTTCATCATACTACAGTCCGCAAAATAGTTAACACAAAAATAACACCTTCATCAATTACCTACGAACCTTTCTAAAAATTGCGTGCGTAAAATGTAATAAAGGACTGATTTAACACTCCTGGAAATCGTGCTTGAAAAAAACTGAATTAGAGAAGACTGCGAAAACATTGGTAGCTTTTTAGCTACAAAAATTTTCCAGAAAGAGGACAAATACAGTCAACTACTTTCTTATTAATACAGTCGTTAGGATAGGTGCACAGAATGCATTGTGTGAACCTACTCACAAAACATCAGGAAAATCAAACAATTATTTTGGTAATTTGCTGCCAAAAAAATTGAAATTATAGTTTTTTTAATATAAATGTCGGCACATCAGTAGACAAAGTTTCTCCTGGGAATATTAAATTGAGAATGGATATTGTCTATTTTTTAAGGCTGTCGATTTTAAACGGGCTTAATTGAAAAGACCATAAAACTCAGGTAATAAACGGCTCAAATGGGCTATGAATAAAATTGCGCATTGTCTTTCATAAATTTGTTTATGGCGAGAATTTATCTTATAGTAGAGTCTGATCGAAATTGTGAAGTAATAAAAGGTGAAAGAACAGCGTTTTATCAGTGATGTGTGTAATTATATACTACAGATAAATACAATTACACGTTATGATTTTTTCAAGGCAACAAAAGATCACTGTAAAGAGAAAATATGGCGATTCCATGACAGTTTAAACAATATTGCATTAGCTTCAATAGTAATTGGATTTTTAATATGTATGTTAAAAAAATAATAAAATAATTTTTACTGGTTTCTTAGCAGCTAATAATTAGGTGTTAATGGTCATTATTGTGACACAAGCTGTGCTCACGCGAAATAAAATTTAGTCATAATAATAAGTGAAATAAAATCTTATACCAATGAATGTGTGACTTACTGGTAGGGCAATAATGAATTTACTCACATTTGATTGTATCTACAACGACACCAATTTAAATAAATAAAACATTGTCACACTAGTGTGATAATGTGTTGCCATTACGAGTCGAATAAGTTAAATATATCTTATTGTTGTAGATAAATATACACAGCATAATAGATAAATATTTCATATATTTCATATTATATACCGAGTGACTATTAATGTTTGTGTTTTTTTTTTGTCACAATTTATTTAAAAATTTTTATGGCATACCTGATTGTCAGGGTGACATTTAGGTCAGGTCATGTCAAAATTGACAACTGGGAACTGACGTACTAGCATGGATGCCAATATAAAAATTTGGTTCATCTAGTTTTGACGTCTATTAACTTTGAATATCATTGGTGTCAGAAATGTATTCAAATGATGAAATGAATGAAATGTTTGTAATTTATAGCGAAAAAATAATCTATGCATTGAATTCAGGAAGAACCATTTAACAGCAGTGCAAGAATTGAAACCCACCGATCACCTTTGTAAGTTTTTTAGAGAACATAAGATTGGTTCCTCCACACTGGATTAGAGAAGGACATTTTCAAACAATAACCAAACTATAAAGCACTCTATTGCTTGTACAACACAATCTGGAACATTCATTAATTCGCTAAATTTATCTCTTTTTTCGAGGGTCTCCTATCAATCCTCCGCAAGCTGCGAGCCGCCCCTGAGCGCGAACTGCGCCTCCTCCTCCTCGGCTTAGACAACGCCGGCAAAACCACTATCCTTAAAACCCTAGCATCCGAGGATATCAACCACGTGACCCCCACAGCAGGATTCAACATCAAGTCTGTCATCTCCGACGGCTTCAAACTGAACGTGTGGGACATCGGCGGGCAGCGCAAGATTCGCCCCTACTGGAAAAACTATTTCGAAAACACCGACATCTTGGTAAGACCCGACTTTCTCCAGACCCTGACTCACATTCTTTTCCCAGATTTACGTCGTAGACTCTTCCGACAAGAAGCGCCTCGAGGAGACCGGAATCGAGCTGTACGAGCTGTTAACCGACGACAAACTCCAAGACGTCCCTCTTCTAGTGTACGCCAACAAACAAGATCTTCCCGAGTCTCTCACGGCGGCGGATTTGGCCCAAGCCTTGGGGCTTCCTTCCATCAAGGACCGGCCCTGGCAGATCCAGGCTTGCACCGCGGTCCAGGGGGAGGGCGTGCGTGATGGGATGGAGTGGGTGTGCAAGAGCATCAAGAAAAAGTAATTTTATCCGGGAGCAACTAATCCGTCCATTGTTTACTATAATATTACACCTACGGTAGTTTACAGCCTATTGTCATTAAAACATCTCGGAGAGCGATTGTGATGCTAACGACTTTTCAAATTAAGCTTTGTATGAGATGTGTGACATTTTGCCACTCATATTAAAATATTTCGTAGAAAAAATCGTGGTATTTATTGTCGGACCGGTTCACTTGAGTCTCTTCCAGAATTCAAGACTCAAGGTCTTTGAAATTGAAGGTTCATTGGCCTGGGTTTATACTTTTTAGTTACACTATAATCACACATTACAAGATGCGTGGGTAACGGACCATGCTCTGTTCGAATTGGCGACGTGAAGAGGACACAATGAGTTTTCGCAACAAAATGGGATGGGGATATTCATTTGCAGACATTAACTGTGATTAGTGATTAATGCTAAGATTGGAGGACTGCGTATCAGCTAACGAGATTATAATGAATGTGTAGGTGACGGTTTCTATTTTCATGCCAAAAATCCTTGAATGTGTCACGATGGATAACTTCCCATAAATTTGTCTATTGTCAGTTTACTTGTCACTAGAGCTTGGAAAAATATGCACGAAAAAATTAAAAAATATACAGGTAAACTTTCGGAAAAAATCCTCAACATATGCCATTATTTATGCCCTTTTGCCTCTAAAAGTACGTAGGAAAAAATCGCAACATATTGATAACTTTTTTATAAAGGACATGTGCCCTTGTTGTAGTTTTGTACTTACTCCTTTATCAAATGATACACGTCTGATGTATAAATACTCGAAATAAAAACCCTCTTTTATTAAATACTATTATTTACAGTTTTGTAGTACCTACACCTAAACATGCATGTATACAGGATGATTCAACAGTAGTAATGAGCCCGACAGAATTGCTTCAAATCTATCTCAAAATGACATTTTGACCCGCATTAAGACATCTGGTTGCATAGATTTTATGGTTTCTCTTATTTTATTTTCCAAACATTCTACGCTATTCGCTATTTAAGCTTTATGGACCCGAACCGCAAGGACTATTACTGTCCATTGTTGCCATAATGGAGCTGTGAACTGAGTTAAGTTATACAATAGCCAGTTTGACTTATAAGGGGTGCTTGAGTCGCTTAAGTTATAAAAGTTTTACAAGGTGTATGTCAAATGAGTTTACTGTACCTGCTATTCTCTCAATGGTTCTTTGGATCACATAAGGGTTTTTGTTCACTAGCTTCAAAACTGCTGTTTAATTTACTATCCCTTATCTACTTGTTCTTTTTTCGATGTTTTTTAAGAGGTGGTCAATTTTCTCTGAAACAAGTTTCCAGGTTTTTGAAAATCGTATCTACTGGTCGTGTTCTATCCAGAAAACGTTCTTTATGTGGCCGGGCAGCAAAATAAGCGTTTTATTTGGATTCGCCATAAATTAAAATCGTATCAGTTTTGTAACATTTTAGTCACTGACAATAATTAAACATATTCAAAAGTTGTCAAAGGTCAAAATTTAAGATGCTTATTACTCCTGAACAGTGTTGGGCATTATCTAGATACTTGTATCTAAATAAAGTATCTAGATACATTTTTGGGTATACAGTATCTGTATCTAGATACAAAATTAATGGCGCAGATACAGATACATTTTTTTATTAAACTTTTTTTTTTCAGTAGTTATTAGTTTAGTTGTACTAGTAGTAATTTTTGATACTTCATGTTGGTGATTTTGGTCACATAAACAAAAATAGAGGGAACAGGTCCACTAATAGTGTTCTGTCACGGAAATTTTCATATTTTAAATACCATCATTTCCTACATTGTAGCCTTCAGTACTTCAGTACATCTTTAAATATAATCCTGAGGGGTAATAAATCTTAGGCACGGTAAGATGGTATTTTAAAAATCATAAACCACAATTCACTATTCACTGCGTTTTACGCTTATCGGGGCAATGCATTTTATCTGTGTACGTGAGCAACCCGGGTCCGGTAGACCCGCTGGTTGTATTTGTGTTATTACATAAGAGCAATTTTAATAGTAAAAATATTTGTTTAAGGTATGTTATTATTTTTAGAAAATAATAAATTAATCTTTTCAATTAGCACAAATTAGTTCTGTAATCGACTAATCGAATGTTCAATACATACATTTCTCTCGCATAAATCACATATTTGTTACTGTCTTATATCTTTATTTTTCAGACAAATGTAGCATCTTTTCCTGTTGCCACATGTGTCATTTCTTCACTTTTTCATTGTTGGATCTAACGCGAATTGGGCTTGGCAGGTCCGTTTTGCCCTAGAATGTGCCGATTATGTTTAAGTGTAAATTTAGGCAATAAAATTAATATTTTTACAACCCTCGGTAGAATAATTTATCGTGATAAATTCTCAGAAATCGTGAAACGAGATTAAAATAAAATGAGTTTCAACAAAAATCTGAAAATTTAAAGTTGCACTCTGGTGATTCCGGCCTGCCAGGCAGCCTTTGATCCTATAAGGGGTTTAAATACCTTTCTAGGAACTTGTACTTATTTTGCCTTAAACGGAACCAGCAATTCTTCCTAAAATGTATATACCTGCCGTACCGGGATAGACGATTACCGGACATGGTCATAAAAACATCGTAAGCCGATATTGAAGAATAATAATTTACGACAGGTTGCCCACAACAGACCTTCAGCACAGAATAATCATTTCCTGTATTCTTTTGAAATATTAATTTTAATCTATATACTCAAACACAATTTGGACACTGTAGTTTGGGAATAAAAACAAAAAAAAATATTTTTTTAAGCGTACGTAATAAATATTGCACAATTTACGACACATCAAACAGCGAAGCGATGACCTATTTGCACGAAAAAAGAAAAGATTTTTTCAGTCTTGAATAACTATGCTACAGTAAAATTTTTATTTAATACCACAATCCCGGAACGGGTGTTTAGTAGCGGAAACCAAATTCTGACATCAAGAAGAAATAATTTAGGTAACAATACGTTCGAAATGTTGTTAATTTAAAAAAATCATTAAACAATACATTAAAAAAAGTACATAAACATGTTTTCAGTTATTTTATTCGCCAAAGCTACAAAAAGTACTTATCTGTTTTCTTGTATCTGTATCTAGATACATTTCGAAAAAATCGAAAACAATCTGTATCTAGATACTTTTAAAAGTATCTGTCCCCAACACTGCTCCTAAATTACGCTGTATATACATATAAATAAAAAAAATATCATATAATCTAAAAAACAAAAATCCTCCAGTAAGTCATGAAATTTATTTTTAAAATAATGTTACATTGATTGGTGAATAAAATCGGCGCGGGTTAAACTCAACAACATATTTCTCAATAACTGAACAATTTACACAGTTAATTACACTGCGATTATGTGCAAAAAAAATCCGGCGCAACTTCACTGGGTTGTCTCGAAACTCGTTGGACTTGACCCGACTGAATAATAATCGTTCCCGACGGTGGCCTGTATTTAAACCTATATGTTCCTTTTGAAGGATCGAGAACGCCGCTTCGAGGGGTTTCTGGGCCCGCAATCGAGACTTCCAGTAATCCGCTGCAGACTTGCCTTTTTGCCCGGCCACCCAAACTGTCAGACTGAACAAAGAACGTGTTGGTGTTGCCAATTTTATTATTTTAAAAATAAATTTCATGACCTACTTGAGGACTTTTTTCGGTCATATGCGTTTTCAACTGCTTTTATATAATTTAAAACAATAGAACGCTTTTAAAACTTTTTAAAATTGTTTCCATTTTGTACAATGGAAAATTCTGAAAACCATCTCAGACAAATTTTTTTATTAAAAAAAAGCTGCAGATTGATGTATAACACATCTATATTAATACCATTTTTTCATACAAATACATATTTTTTTTAATCGTGTTAAATTTACAAAACATTTAGCTGATGTTCACACAGCCAGTAATATTTATACGCATAAATTATTTACAATATCTACGCTTTTGTTTAAAATAAGACCTTTGGATTCCAGTATATATTAAAGCACACAGAGTTAAATTTCACCATGAAATGTGCAATCCTCCTATATTATACACATCAATCGTAACAGTGAATCTGTTTTGGGTACATATTAATGCCAGGTAAGGTGATTCTCAAAATATGTTTTTGAAAATTACTTTCCCCGTTAACCGTTTTACTGTCACGTGATTCATTTAACTGCACCTGCGAAGCTCTGGAGCATCTGGACAACTTCAGATTTAGACATTGCTACCCCCAAATAGAATCAGATACTACTTTAGGCAATTTCCCGTATTTCGGGAGGCGTAAGTTTCACACACTATTAATAATAATTTATTATTGTGAAAATTTAAACTTCAAATATTACAATCCTCGAAAATTTTAAAATGAAAAAAAAAATGTGGTGTAGAAAGAGGGGTATACTTAAAATAAACTTTCTACAAGTCATTTTAGAGCACTCATCGCTTAGAAAACGCGTCTGACGATTCGTTTTTTAACTTTAGGATTCGTATAAAAAAAATCTTATGAAACTTGTTTTTTAAAGCATTATTTTTTTTAAGTCCAGCAATGTCGCAATTTCCATCAAAAATGTATTTGGCAACATAGCTTTAGTGGTAGATAATTTAAATAATAGTAGCTTTTTTACATAAGTACACAGAGAAAGGAGATTAGGACTTAATTATGTCAAAAGTGGTATTTATTGAATAATTATTACCTATTATTTTTGACACGAGAGGTGACAGTCAGGTAGTACAACTTTTAGATATAATACATCTACAGCCCCTATGGTTATTCAGTATAACAGAACGCAACACGTGGTGGAATTATAAAAAACGTAAGTGCCTTTTTTCTTAAGAATTTTTAAAATTTTGCTGAAATTTTTCATCACGTATGGTTAAAAATAAAACTCAATATCTCAGACATCCATCGAAATTTCGGAACGCGGCTTTCGCCACTGTTTTCAGCTTACACAGCTCTAAAAACTACAAAAGAAATACATATAATCGACATTTTTTTGACGGTAATGAGATAAAGCAATTTTTTCGACACAAGCAGCTTCCAAAAGAAAAAGTCAATCATGTTTTTTCTGTAATTTGTAGAACTGTTTAACAGTGATGAAAACCGCGTTTCGAAATTTCATTAAATTACTGAGTTATTAATTTTTAAAGACACGTGATGAAACTATTTTTAAAAAACTGCCCTTGTGCTATCTGTTTAGAGAAAATTGTGGACAAGGTATATTTAAAATTTCATAACAATAAGTGTGGTAATAATGGACATATTACATTCTGAAAATGTATTGAACACAAGAGCAAGTTCACGATCGTGGTAGTAAGGGTTTTGGTGTAATGCTGGATCAGATGTTTTATTTTGATAAACCTATGCACACAAGGGTGCCTTTGTAAATATTTTTAACGTAGGTAAAGGAAATTGAATTTTAACACTTTCAGCAGCCTCTGTTGAGACTATGTGCTAAATAATTACAGTGGATTAAATGTGTCACAATTACCTTGTTGCTTTAAGTACATAAGAAGCATAATTCACTGACCATTAATAAAACATTACCTGCCGAAATTTGACGTGATACGTAACAGTTAGTCAAACAATCGTTAACAAATTTAGCACCTACAATGCTAGCTCTATTCGTTTTTTCTAATCCTTTAACACCCAATAAATATTCTTTTTGTAATGTAATCAATTTCATTTACCCTTTTAATCAAATTTACAATTTATCTTCCTTTGGTTTCACGATTTCACCAACGAAATCCAGATGGCACCGTCACCAATGCCTGACCTGACCTGACTTTCAGTGTAAAATAGTAGTGCCTCCAACATATTTTTTTCTTAGTGTCAATAAACTGGAATTTTAATTGAATGAATGAACTTTTTATTCTTAAATTGCCAAGAAGAAAAAAATAATCAAACATTTTCATATTGAGTATCAATAAATAATCAAATTTTAAACTTTTTTCACAAATAATGTAATAAATTTTAGCGGAGTCACTTTATAAACACAAGCTGCTTATCTAAATTTTAGAAAATTTTAAATATTCAAACAAGATAAAGGGACTGACTAAAAACTGATTTCAGGTAATATCCACATTATACAGTAGTAAAGTTACTCTAGTTACCATTAAACCTTCATCACTGATTCACCAGAGCATGTCCATATGTACTGTACTTGATTTATAAATTTATGACAATGAGGTAGGTCAGGTTTTCTTCCAAGAGGTCTTGGATATTATAAATTCATAAATACAGTTCTTTGAACTGTATGATCACCGGCATTGTGGGGGCGGATGGGATTTGCTGAAGGTGCGCTGAAAACATTTAGACCGGTATATGTACCCATGAAAGATCACACTGAACCATTTTTTTACAAATTTCCCCATTTTCAGATGGTTCCGTCCAGCATCTAAAATTTCCATCGTTGCAAAAAGGATATCTAAGTAATAAACGGCGATTTGCTTTTTGAGATTCTAGGAGCTATGATACATCGACAAAACATGAAGTTAGTCATTCGTTAAATGGATTCTGTTAAAATACTTACCTCCTTAGCGAGACTAGAAGTAAAAGTGGATAACATCAAAACTTTAATATCTGTTAGACACTGGTTTTTCCAAGTTACCCAATTATTAATATGGATGTACTCATTCACAAGATGCTAAAAAAATGTTGTAACAAATTAGGTTGGTATAGAATACGCTACATTTAACATTAAATATGTTTAACAACATTAGTGTGCGTTTTAAGCGTAGAAAGTAACAGCTTGTAATTCTGAATGTTTTAAATTTATTTATTATTTATAAAAAGTTTATTTACAGGTTCATTTCTTCAGGCGATATCGGTGTAGAGTCTGCACTAACAGTCAAAACTAAAAACAAAGTTTTTCATTCATTCAGCACTAACTGTGAGCAATCTAATCTGTCCTAAATTCTGCTACCAGTTTACATATTTTTTGATTTATTAATATTTGTGTAGGTATTTAATTAGACGGGATTGTGTACCTTTATTATTTCAGACATCACGTGCTGAATCATTATTACTATTTTACGCCCCACCACTGACCCGGAAATGACCGGCATTCAGGCAACGCTTCTATCATTACGGGCATCAAGACCATTAATGACATGCATTGATGACATGGATGACGAAATGAAGCAACGTTCAAGATTCTAGATTTACAGCACACTATTAGTGTGTTCTATTATTATTCTCTAATCTCGTACCATTCGCACGAGTCTCGCGTGACTACCGATCATTGATCCACGCACCGCTTGAGAAGCGATTGTTATTATTATTACTGTAGAAATATTGTCGCATCCGTGCACCCCTATTTAATAGCATGTCTCACCTTTGTTTATCACTGCGGATTGAAGTTCATATTCATACATATATACAGTACGTGGTCTAGTATCTGTAAATTTAAATGATTAATATATCTATAGTAGAACTGTAACAAAGTGAATTTCTATTTACGAAATTTTTTACTTAACGGAATTTTTATGTGTAATTTTTTCCAAGAATTGTTCACACACGTATGTGTAAGAAATTTAACAAGCGATTAGCGCGAAAACAATGCCTTATTCTACTAATAACAGTATTTCAATATGTATAAGTGATGGTCAATTTAACATATTTATATAAAAGATACTTCCGTGAATACAGTTTTCATTTAATCACTTTGATTTCTTATATTCGTAGGTCGATAGATGGGTTTTGTTGTAATTCGTAACGGTGTAACAAATTATCATCTTTTACAAATGTGAAGACTGGAGAGTAAATTAAGATGCTACAGCAAAGAATTATCACCTTGATAAATGTTTAAGCAAACTAGACAAGCTTTGTATTTTGTTCAAAAATACAAACTTACGACTTACAAAAAGGCAAAATTTATTATAAGCTTCTAAATTCTAGTACTCATTTTCAACAAAGTGTGCATCTTTTGTTGAAGAATGGAGATTATAAATAAATATTTTTTATAATGGCTGCATAAAATATATTAAAACAAAACTTAAAACCATTCCACCTGGCAGCGAATATTTACTTTAGCTTAGACTCTGTACGAGGCCTATTTATAATTATACTTCTATAAATAATGAAATAAAAATATCACTGGACGGTTGTCCTGAATATACACAACTTATCCCTTAATATATCTGTTATTTGTTTTCTGAGATAAAGTAACTGGAGAACGGCACACCTATAAACATGTACAGGAAACGAGAACAAGACTAGTCCAAGTCAGGTCCATTTTCAAAATGTTATGCTTTAGCTTTCATGTGTAATTGGCTTTTCTAAAATCAGTTCTTTTCAGGACTTTAGTAGACCTTTTGAATGTTATTTAAGTAAGGCAGATTAACCATATTTATAAAATGGAAAAATTTTGAACTGAACGTCCTACGTAGAGATTCTACTAAATAAACATCTTTCTTTTATTTATTTATTTATGATCACTTATAGCTGCAGCAAATTATCTGTCACGCAATAAAGCACACATTATTATTATTATTTTTATAAAAATCGTTAAATTTGATTTATTTATTAAACTCATATTCAAATGGCAGTGTTTTCAGCACAAAAACATTTATTGAGTCATAAAATCAGTAAAATAATTCGTTTAAATTTTACGACAAACAAATTGAAGCTTAAAAACAACCAACGCGAAAATGCTGTTATTTTCACATAAAAATTGGTCCAAGGTTACTTCGACAGAACTTCCCTCGCCCTTGAAGTATAGTCCAACAAATTCCGCTTCTTTGAAAAATTATAAAAGAATTTTGTTTGCTGATAACCCTGATATAGTAAAAACCAGTAGTGTAAATGACACCCCGAACCCCCTGCACCATGGGGCAAATTCCAAGGAGGCGCCGTCCCTAGACACATAGACAAATAACCAACCGAAAAGAGTGTAAATGCTTAACTTCGATTGTTTATGTTTATACATCCAAAGAATATTTAATTTGAATGAATTATCTCCTCAAAAATAGGACTAGAATTATTAATTAAACCATAATGGAATAAATTGTTTTAATATGATTATTAATATTCTTATTTGATCATAATTCATTAAAGACGTGGGTATTCTCACATTTTCTAGAAAATGTGGTTCTTAATTTGATCAGTAACAAATTGATCGAAGACTGTAAGCATAATCCCACAAATCCAGCTCTCTAACAAAATTATAAAATTTCATTTTACGATTTTCGTTTTATGACAACCGTTGTAAAGTAAACGAAATAACAATCTGAAGCTCAAGTGTTTATTTATGTTTATACATCGAAAGAATGTCACGTAGAAATTGGTTTGATTTGAATGAGTTTGTCTTCTCGAAACAGAGGACTAAAATTATTAATTAAACCGCAATCGGACAAAATATTTTGAATATTATGATTCTTATTTTATCATTATTATGTAAAAACGAGACTATTTTTTTCGTACTGTAAGGGTCATGAAACGTCTAGAAAACATAAAAGTGGCAATTCGTCTGATGGACTCGATTACTATACTTACTTCCTTGGCTTACGCTCGGGTAGTAAAAAACAAAAATACTTAACTTACTCTTGAACAAAAAAAAATATTTTTTTTTGTTTTCTGCGAACAAAGAAAAAATTGTGCAATTGTGTGAAAAAGGAATTTTTGTATAAACTCTAGAGTTATACCTTATACCTTTAATTAAATAGCGAGCAACATGAATATGTAAAATACCTACTGGTTATCCCTCATGAATGCGTAATTTTTATAGCTTGTAAATGTGATGAAAGTCACAATCTGTTACGTTGCTCACTTTCTGTAAATCGGCACCCGAAACCAAAGTCCAGCACAAACACAAAATCTTCTTCCATGACGTTATCAGGGATTTGCGAAGCCATCCGTTATCAGTGTTCATTGTTTTGAACCAGTTGGAATGCTCCAGGTAAGCCTGCGACCTACTCAACAATGTTAAAAGGTGTATTACGAGTCAGTGGTAGTCAGTGTTGAATCGAAACCAGAACCGTTCCGAGGTACCGTAAGTACAGTTATAACATCTTATACGGAAAGAACCATCGACTACTGTCATTTGTGCAGTGGTCGTGTGCTGCGTGACATGTGACTGGCGCCAAAGAAAAATCATTATCATCGAAAATAGAAGAATGTAAGTACCTTCTAACACGGTTCCGCATGAACGGTACTAGTTCAAGGTTAATTTTACAGCACGTCTGTTTTCCAATTAAATGGTACCACGAAAATGAGATAACTGTAATTCTGCGGATTGCGGAACGTCGTGGTACCATCAAATTCCATTCAAATGTGGAAAGTTTAAGTGTGCGTGTAGGGTTTGATTGTCGATTGTTAATTGTGTTACCCACGAATGTGTTAACAAGGGTTGAGGAGAAATTAAACTGGTTATCTGTTAACTGTGTGTGCGTGAGCGTTCGGTAGTTTGATAGTGGTACGTACGGATGATACGGCACGTTTTTTGAGTACCCATGAACAGTTAAACCTGTTATTAATAATTACTATTTTTACAGATTATTACCAGCCCCTTGAACATGGCGACCACTTCCTCACTGTTTCTAGTCATTCTAGTTATCACCCCGACCCTCCAAGATACCGCCAACAACCAAATAGACGACACTTTCCAAGAAGTTAAATCCGAGATCCTCCAAGAACAAACGCTCCAAAACGTAGGTGGGCTGCTGAACAGCTTCATGCATTCTGAAGGAGCCAAACAACTAGGAGATATCTTATCAAATGCAGCAACAGGGGAAAACGCTGGTGAAATTCTCCAGGGTCTTGGATCCGTCCTCGGGCAGGGCAAAGGCCTGGATCCTTCCATGTTAGGAATGTTGGCGAACATGGTGCAACCACACACCGGCAATAAAGACGACTCCATCGACACGAGCCTGATTTTTTCGCTTTTGGGCAACTTTGTGGGTCAATCAGGCGATACTGTGAATTTGTGGAACTACGTACCCATGATCTTACAAACCGCCAACGCTTTCCTCGGACCTGAGGCAGCTGAAAGAGCCAAAAGGCACTCGGATCACGCCGACTTCTTACCTCCGATAATCGAAAAACTCCACTTACTTTTCGACCACTTCATCAACTCCGAACTCGGCAAAACCTTGTTTAACACACTCGGTGCGGAAAAGTTCATTAAAGTATTCGCCGACGAAGAAGGAAGAATGTCGTATCGCAGGTTCGTCGACATGCTAGAAAACCACTCTTTCCGCAAACACTGGATTAGCATGGTTACTAGCAAAATTGCCAAGGTCATTTCACACTTCTCAGATCCGAGGACACGGAAGAAGTACGTTACAACGACCCAGCACTTCATCAACAGCATTTTGAAGAGCCAGAAGTACCCGAAATCCACACTTTTTGATCCTAACAGACCGACGGAAACTATCACGAACCTCGTGGATCACTTTGCGAAAGAGTCCCTCAACATAAAAATTAGCTCGTTGGAGTACGTCAAACCCATAGTCGAATACGTGAAGGTAATTTTAAGTACCATGAAGAGTACCCAAGTGTTAATGTTATTGAACTTGCAGGAACTGTTCCGTATGGTTGAAAAGCGGGGGATGTTGAGCGTAGATTCGCAGAAACTTTCCAATAAACTTGCCGACACGATTAATCTTGAAGTGATCGAACCTCTGGTGAGGGTCAATAGGGCGTTCAGATTTGCTCGAAAGGTACCCGCGTGTGACAGGTAAATATACACGTACTGTGGCCAAGTGGTTCCTACAATATTTTTTTTAGGTACGTCATGTGTTTAGTAAATGAAGAACCGCAAGACGATAAACCCAGCATTCCTGGCTTGAGGCCTCTTCTCAGCAAATCATCGAGTTTAATCTTCAGCTGGTTTTTGAGTTCGGTGACGAAAACCTCTTACTTTGACTTTTATGGTTCCATTGTGGGCAGCAAAGACTGCCAGGTTTGGATCTAAATTTATCATTTTTCGATTACTTTGTTTTTTTATTTTAGAAGTGGTACAACGAAGCCTGCAACGATTTTCACGATGAAGAAATGCGAGTTAAAAGGGAGATCATTCATAGTGAACTGTGACCTTCGAAAAGTGGGGACTGAGTGTTTGCGCTAACTGCGGGCATCTTGTTGAAGAGTTTTTATTTATTTGTATTTATATTGTAAATTTATTGATTAAATAAATTCCAAAAAAGTTGGCACTGATATCTTCAAGGTTCGTTAAGCATGGGTTGGTTCGTGGATCATATTCGTACTTTGACTACTCGTAGACAAAAAGTTTCTTTTTTCCTAATCTTATTTACTCTACACCAAAGTACTAAAGCGAGGACAGCAAGCCTTTACGTTAAAACTCGAGTGGTGTCATTTTTTGACTGACCTTTATTTCTTTTGTCCAACGCGTACCTTTTTTCTTCATTCTTACGGAAATCACGTCGAAGGTCCACACACCCCACAAAAACACTTAACTCTTATATAAAAGCACACCAGCTCATTTAATCACTTCAAATGAAGAAAAATGGTTATTGCCGACGATCTCGACAAACTTCTCGAAGAGAAGTTTACCAGTTCTTTCCGGAAAGGCTACATCGAAGTCAATGGATTCTCATTCCCTAAACGCTACGAAGAGTTAAAAGAAGAATTCGACAATTTAGAAGTCAACGAGGAAGATGTTTGGATTTGCAGTTTCCCCAAAACAGGTAAAGTTTCATTTGTTCTTTTCTCAAACTAAATTGATGATCTAGGTACGACCTGGACACAAGAAATGGTTTGGATGATCGTCAACAACATGGATTTCGAAGAGGGACAAGTGAATTTGGGCCATCGTTCCCCGTTTTTGGAGTACTAAGTTAAACTTCACCAAAAGAAATAATTGCATATTGCGTTTTTAGAGTGTCCATTGTTTTTGATTTTCGTGACTTATTGAAGAACGTCCCGAACTTCAATCCTCCTCCGTTTCTTCAAGACTCTTTAGCTTTTGTGAGGAGTCAGAAGAGCCCAATTTGCATGAAGACGCACTTTCCTTATCAGTGCCTTCCTACACAAATTCAGAATGGAGTTAAGAAACCTAAGGTAAGGGGAAATTCCGTTACATTTACGTAATCAGTAATGAATTTAATTTAACGTTAGTTTAAAGAAAATGAAAGTCCATTCTTAAGAAAAATGAGTTGCCGCATTTTAAATGGCTTGATTAAATTTAGTTACCTCATCCTACAATTAGATCATTTATTTTTGAAAATTGTAGATGATTTATGTTGCTCGTGACCCTAAGGACACCTGCATTTCTTACTACCACCACAGCAAGCTCATGGAAGGTTTTAAAGGAAACTTTGAAGAATTCTGCGAACTGTTCTTAGCAGGGAAAGGTATGCACCCCTTTTCGTAGAACCTCTTTGATTAAAAGTTTTAGTTAACTTTGGACCTTACTGGAAACACGTTTTAACTTACTGGGGTCTAAGAAATTCTCCAAATTTCCTTTTCCTAAAATACGAAGATATGAAGAAGGATTTAAGTAAAGTCATTAGACAAGTGTCGGAATTTTTGGAACGTCCTTTAAACGAAGAACAAGTGAAAATTTTGACTAAACATCTGAGTTTCGAAGAAATGAAAAAGAATCCTGCCGTCAACTATGAACTGGTTTGTGATTTGAACAAGAGGTTCAAGTTGACGGAATACGATGGGGTGTTCATGCGGTCAGGGAGTGTAGGAGGACATAAGGATGTTATGTCTCCAGAAATGATTAAACGTTTTGATGAGTGGATTAAGGAAAATCTTGAAGGATCAGATTATGTAATCTGATTCGACTTAAAATAGAAAATAACGTTGGTTTGTTATTGTTTTATTAACAATTTCTAAGACAAATAAAAGACTCAGAAAATTTTTCCAAAAAGATACCTGCTCATCGTTTTTTTTTTTTTGTGAAATACTTCCTCAAAATGACATCCTTCAATCTCCCTCATGTCCTGGAATCTCAAAAATTTGCACAATTGATTGTAATTCTCTTCACTCAAACGTAACAATTTGCCTGCGTTTCTTACTATCATCAAACAAGCTTGTGAAAGGTTTTAGTGGAAGAATTTTCCGAGTTTCAGACAATTTTGGACATCAGTGGTAACATATCTTAACGTATTGGAATTTTGACTGAGTTTCGAAAAAATCTTGCTGTTAACTATGAAATGGTTTATGATTTGAATAAGAGATTTATGTGGACGGAATACAGTGGGGTATTTATGCAGTCTGAGAATGTAAGAGGATATATAAGGATGTCACGTTTATAGAAATAATTAAACGTTTTGATGAATGGATTAAGGAGAATCTTGAGGAAACAGAATATGTGATGTTATCTTACTCAAAATAGAAAAAACATTAATTTTATTTATTATTTTTAATTAACAACATCAATGGTAAATAAAAGACTCAGAAAACAATAAAACCTAAAACTATCTTGTACTTCTTCACTTTCTTAGAGCTCCAAAATGTTCTTCTAAATCTACAACTAATCGAAAGTAAGCCCCGTACCTTTAGTATTTTCTTCAATCCAGTCATCAAACCTCTTCGATAATTCCGGACTCATATAATTTTTCCAATCTCCAACCTGACCCTTTCTAATAAAATGATCCCCTACCCTTTTAAAGAAATCTTTTCCGTGTTTTTGTTCGAGTACTCCCTCAAAGTTACACCCTTTATTCTCCCTCATGTTCTGGAAACTCAAAAATTCGCACAATTTATCAATATCCTCCTCACTCAAACTCTTTTCCATAAAATCAGCAATTTTCTTCAAAGTTCCCCGAAGATCTCTCTTCATGTCCTCATACTTGAGGAAGAGAATATTAGTTTCGTGTCTCTTATTCCAGAAACTTAAATAGTGGGAAAAAACGGGCCCCAAAGGCGTCAAACCTCTCATCAAATGATCGGAAAACTCTTCAAAGGTGAGTTGTAGCCTATGAAACATCTTGCAGTGGTGGTAGTACGAAACACACATGTCTTTAGGATTTCGACAAGTGTAGATAATTTTTGGCTTGACTTTGTCGAGCTCTGTTGGAAGCAAGGAAAGTGGGAGGTGACTTTTGATATAGCGCGGTGAAGGAAGGTTGTTAATTAGTTCGACAGAGTTCTCGAGGAGTTCTTTGCCCAGGGAGTCAATTTCTATTAGTACCGTCGACATTCTAAAAAAAAAATGTGAATATAAATAGTCCGAGATGAGAGTTTTGTGTTATTCTTTACTCAATAAGTGGTGCTCTAATTTGCTGGATGGTACTTCGTGCGCCATCAAAGTCGAGGTCGTTGCCTATCAACCAAATCATCTCCTGGCACCAAGTGGAACCTGTTCATTTCCCTGTTAATTAATAAATTCAGAAAAAATATAAAAATAACCTGTTCTGGGGAAGCTGATGAGCCAAATGTCGTCTTCGCGTATCGGAGCGTCGATAATTTGTTGGGCGAATTTTACATGGTACGGTGGTAACAAGCACTTGCCGGGGTTGAATTCCAGCATGGCCCCTTTGACACCAAAAGCCTTGTCCACCCTTTCGGCATCCTCGGGGCTCAGAGGCCTCACTGTGTAACTGGTCATCTTTCACTCGTCACTTCTTGCGAAGAACTATCTGGGTAAGACCGCCGCGAGTACTTTAGAAGCAGACCTTTCGTAATCATCCCCACTTTGACGGGTGTTTTGGCTGTGATTTATCCTATATTGAAACCGGCGTAACTCCGTACATACACCATTAATGAGCACGAAAAAAGCCCAGTTACGTAAATGCGCAAAATTGCACTTTGGGATGGGTACTGCAGGTGAAACGGGTATTGTTAGGTGCTGGGGAATCCGAGAAATGTTGTGTAAGATTGTGTGAAAGTTGCAGTGAAATGTATTTTCTGGTAGGTCTCCATGTGGGTAAAAAAAAGTAAAAAATATCGACGTGCAAGAACCGGAAGTCAGGTTTTATGTGTATCTGGAGAAAATGTCGGAACTTTCCGCTGGGTCGAAATGAGATGGGCGACGTTACTTTCCAATATCCGACGGTTTTAAATATTTCGTAGGTTACGCAATGTTAAAATTATTGTTGAATATTTATTTTCGAACGGTATTAGAGAAATGTGGGTTAAGCAAAGGTTCGCTGGGTTGCAAAATTTATTTTGGATGTTTGTTTAGCATTTGTGTGCATATTGAAATTCGAACGATTTAATCATTTTAGAGATTGTTCGACAACAGTAAGTAAACTGTCACAAATAATAACCGCTGCTTTACATTCTCTTCGTCGTTTAAGCTATTTTCAGTAACGGGTTGGTTTCAGACCATTTACTGACCCATGAATGATTGTTATTATCGCGATAAAGTGAAAGTTCTTCGTTGTCCAGCAACTTTCCTTTAACTGGTTGATATCCTTGACCATAAATGAATAATTATGGTTGTTTTTAGTATTGTGAGTAATAATAAAAAGGCAATAAACGTAAGTAAACAAATACAACACTTTGTATTTACTTACATTTTGTTTGCCTTCTCCCTTCAGCATCTAATACATTCATTATTTTTCTGTCATAAATTATGACATGCTATATAGTAAATATACATTATGAGCAAATATACATCCATTATACAACAGTTATTTATGTTTTTTTGTTTAATCATTTTAATGTGTTTTTTATAGATATTTAGTTATTTTTTTAATGCGCCGACAGCATATGCAACCACCAATACTACCAAATATTGGTGTAAATATAAATGCTGAAAAATTAAAAACTAAAAGATCTACTGTGCTAAAAGTGCTTTTCTGTCTATAGTAGGTAAATAAAGTGCAATATAGTCAATTAATCATCTGATATGACCTGGTTAATTAATAATACGGAGGGATTATTAAATTTTCTTTTTGAATAGATCTTGTCAAATTACAAGGGCTATTGTCGTTCTCATCCCGAATTCAGACCTTCCAGAACAAACGTGAAACATCTAAAGTGTACCCAGTATTCAAAAAAGGAAGTTGCTCTAATGTTATTAATTATAAAAAGGTCATTCAATAATGTAAGCAGTTACCCACGTTTCAGTGCATTTGGAGAATAACGAAAATAATCACTCTTGGGTTGATAGTTCTCGTAATTTTGTAAGACAAGACACGAGTAGAATTCTAAAAAGTTCCTTCCTGTTAGTGGTACAACACTTTGTTGTGGCTCTGTCTAAGAAAATTACATCTGAATACCTGCACATTGATGGTATAGAAAATTTAGTGTCACAAGTAGATTTTATAATTTGCAAATGTTATGTTGGTAAAACTTCATTCTTTCTGGTTGCTGTATATATCCCTTATCCCACCTGATACTTCTATTGACAACTATGAACTTTTTCTTGAAGCATTGGAAGCATATCTTTATGAAAAACCATTTATTTTGATTGGGGACTTCAATGTTCCTGGTTTTAGTAATTTCCACAATCCGGTGGACTACAATTTGTTGTTAAACAAACTTAGTGCTTTCAGTCTTGTTCCTTCTCTTGCCAGGCTTATGGAATCATATCTTTCTAATAGGATTAACTATGTCTTTTACAATGGCTTTAAATCTAGTGAATACATGTCAACATCCGGGGTCCCACAAGGATCAAACCTGGGTCCCCTGTTATTTGTGTTGTATATATATTGATGATCTGAACATTTTTTCCACCATCAAGGATTTTGAAGATGTAGTAAAATTGCAGCAAAACTTAAATAAGATAACTAAGTATGTCTTGTTCACTCAATAGTTTAAAGATCAATTGGAATAAATGTTATTATGTTAGATTTACTCGTAAAATGAGGCATATTGCATCTGCTTATACTGTAAATGGTAATGTTTTGACACTTGTTGACAACATAACAGATCTAGGTGTGATATTTGATGCAAATCTTACTTTTTTTACAACGTATTGATACTTTAAATTCAAACTTGTCTAAAATGTTTGGTTTCATTATGCGTACTTCGGCACATTTTAAAAATCCATTGTTATTAAAATCCTTGTATTTTGCGTTTATTGTTAGTAAAGTGGAATATGCATGTATTGTTTGGCAACCACATTATACAAACCGTCAATTACAGATAGAACGTATTCAGAGACGATTTTTGAAATTTAAAGGATTATTATTATTAACACATGAGCTAGTATAAACACGTATTAAAAATAAGGGTAGGCTTAGTAAAAGCTTAATTATTTAAATAAAAATGAATCACATTCCACGCCACGCTCTTCCCTTCACCAAGGACAATTATTAGTGTTAGATCAGTGAATTCGCGATTTTTCAATAGGAAGTGCTCTAAAACTTTGCCCAATTCGTCAAAACACGTTATTTTTGTTTTATCGTTTGTAATTTCATATTTCATGTTAAGATGTGTTCATCGTTATAATACAATTTAACTACAATAACGGAAATGTTCCTATAAAACCAGTGAGGTGATGATAATAATTTCTGATCAATGTAATAAGTTATTATTACATTATCCACACTTCAAAACTTTTCATTCCAGATTTATAATTCATTCATTGCATTTAACTTTGGTTCATATAATAGTTTAACCATGAATGTAGAATTACCTACTATTCATTTAACCTATCTTTAATGTTGATTCATTTTGAAAGGACCTTGAAAATTTTCATCGGTTAAATTAGTATCTCTGTTTTCACAGGAGGTCTTTTATATTTTATACTTTCTCGTTCACTTATAAATAATAATTTATTTGTAAGGCTTTTTATTTCTGCCTTAGTTAAAGCAGCGATTTAAACCTTGAAACTTGACAAATGTATGATAGTCTAAAAACAATTTTTTTCCATATTGTTACCACCAAACAAACCAACAGTAGTGATAAAAATATTCCAATAAGCAAGGCGTGACCGACATATTGGTTACTTTTAATAAATTAGAAAATATTGAGCAGAGAAATTCATTAATTTCCTTTATATTAACTTTCTTTTTAAATAAATCCTTATTTAATTAAATTTAAACACGTTAACGAAAATTCCAAGCTATACTATTTATTTGATTCGTGATTTTGATAGTTTATTATATTTTGGGTCATCATAATAAAAATTTAATTTTATCCACACCGTTGATCAGAACAATGTTGTATGTACCAAAAAAATTAATACATTGTCTTTGAAAATGTTGTAATTTGTCGAAGATTTAGATCAATAGCGTCCCCGTTTTCATTTACCTGCATCGCAAAAGATGTTTTTGGCATGAAAAAACGTTCGTTCCAAATCAACGAGGTGTAATATTTAAAATCATTTCCTCGCGTTTTAGAAATTGTTCTACACAAATTTATAAAAATTAGATGTGCCAAAATGACACTCCAGTTTAAGTACCAAATTCCTACAACAGAAATGTAATAATGAATAAAACATCGAGTACAAAATTGTTCCCTTATGAAACTAAAAATCGACACTTCCCAGCACAAGATAATTATTTTAGATTGAAATATTATTAGTCAGCGAACCCAAATCAAATATAAACAATTTATAAGACAAATCTTAGACAACATAACCTCACATAAACGTCACCCAAGCCACCTAAAAATTTTGTTCAATTGAAAACAAACTACAAAATCATAAAAATTGTAACTGATTTTGTGAGACCCAGAAAAAGTGTTTTCGATGAAAAGTATGATAAAATAAGAATTTGTCCTGTAAATTTTGATACCAAAGTTCAAGCAAATGTCAATGTCAAAAATCAGCTCAAAACGTCACTCCATGTCAACATAACCTAAACGTAATTTTTCTTATCGCCTTTATTTTTTTAATAGTTCGACATGCGAAAACCATTATTCGTTTATTAAAAATGAAGAAATTGTATTTCCTCAACGCAATCACCGGAAAACCGCTAAAAATCTACCTAGTCTTTGTCACAGTGCTCTTCGTTCTCTTCATCATGTATTTTACGTACTTCAAGCCAAAACCTGTTCTATCGAAGCCAGCTCGACAAATTTTCGACGATTATAAACATCCAGTACACAGAGAATCTCCATTTGAGGGGGCTAAAATAGTCCACATTGATCTGAAAGGCGCCCCTTTAAGGGTATCGTACTACAAGACGTTGTTTCCCCTTTTATCCAAATTAGGGGCTTCTGGTGTCTTAATGGAGTACGAAGACATGTTTCCCTATAACTCTCGATTGCTCAAGAACATTTCAGCTCTAAACGCTTACACTTACGAAGATATTAAATATATAAATGATCTCGCACACCAGAATAGATTAGAAGTAATTCCACTGTTACAAACTTTCGGTCATTTAGAGTTTTTATTAAAGTTAGAAGAATTTAGAGATTTACGTGAAGTACCTGATTACCCGCAAGTGATTTGCCCTACGCACGAAAAAACTATGGATCTTCTCATGGAAATGATTGATCAAGTGGTGGATTCGCACCCACGCTCAAAAACCATTCATATAGGGGCTGATGAGGTTTATTACTTGGGGTTTTGCGACAGATGTGCCAACATTATGACCAAATTTAATTTATCCAAAAATATGCTTTTTTTGGAACATGTTAATGGAATAACAAGGCGCGTGCATAAGAAGTATCCTGACCTCAAGATTCTAATGTGGGATGATGAATTTCGGTCGTTTAGTTTAAAGGAGCTGAAAAATGGTGATTTGAGGTATATACAGCCTGTTGTGTGGAAGTACTCGAAAGATGTATATGAAGAATTGGGCCCCAGTTTATGGGATATGTATTCTGACGTTTTTCCGAACGTTTGGGTCGCCAGCGCCTTTAAGGGAGCAACAGGTATTGTATTATTACAACAAAGCAGTGGTTGGAAGTATTTCAATTACAAGTAATTCATTACTGTAATTCAATTCCTTTTCAAGTAATGAGTAATTGAAACGAATTACTTTTTGCAATTACTTTTAACCCAAATACTCAAAAAATATTGTGTGGACACTCCCATAAAATTTTATTGTCGGATTATGAGGGGTTTAAAAGGACGGGCTCTATCGGTTACCTGTTATACATTTGAGTAAACCAGAAAAATGGCTATAGTTTGTTTGATCACAAATTTTAAATATTCTGTCCCTGTTTACTCAATTATTTATTAAGATATTTTATTTCTGTAAACCGCAATGGATTTTTTTAATACAATTTCTACTTATGTACCTCTTTGAAAATTTAAAATTGATCCATAAATAGCCAAAAACCAGATAATCTCATACTCATCACAATTTTAACGCGTTGTAGTTTTTTTTTACAACAAAATTTAAAAAACGGAAAAGCAGTCTGAGTAGGGTTTTTGAGCGTAATCAAATTTCATAATTTCTCTAAAAAGCTGGGTTTGTTTTGTTGTACTTCAGGGGCGATGAAACTTTTTTTATTACTAAATGTAATTGTTAAACTCACACTTCCTTTAAAATTTTTAGTCTACATTAAAAATATTGAGAACACGATGAAACGCTAACTAAAATCTGTCTATACATCCCCTCAAAAAATTGATCCCGCTATCTGTTAAAACAGTTATACAGGGTTAGTTAGTATATATAAAGTCCCGCAACGATTGAATAATTTTGTTGTTCGAAAAGTTTTTTTTTTGGAAATTTTGTGTGGATATACAGAGTGTTCATTTTATCTGTTCACGCCTGCATAGGCAACCCATTTTACGTTTCATAAGCAGCTTTGATTGATTTTTATTTTTAAATAATAATGAACGCATACAAAGAATTCTAAGTTTAACTTTTTCCTAGAAAGTCTTTTATAGGAAAGCATTAGGCCCGCCCACCCACCCCCTCTTCATTCTGGTGACTACTCTTAATACTGTTAATAATTGACAATGTTATTGCCTTATTAGAATCTTCGGCAAATCTGTTAAACCGTTGGTGAGAAAACAAATAAATTGTTATTTTTCCTTCTATAAATTATTCAATCTACACCTGATATTTCAAGTGTTCTTTCTTCGTTTATAGTGACAGTGATAGTGATGCTTTATTCGCCATGTTACATATACAACATAGGTTAATGGCACATCAGATAAAAATACAAAAAATAGAAACCAAAATTTTGGACAGTTTATTATTAATTTTTAAATTCTGTAAATTTTAACTGTTAATTTTTTTCTTTTAAACAAAAAAATTCGTCTTCTTTCTGCTGCAATAAAATAATAAATTTTGGTAGTACTTTCCTAAACACTCGATTTGTCTTAATAATTGTAAATTGGTTATCACTTATCAGTGATATCGAATTTTGAATCTTGCTGTTTTTCTCATTCATTGTGTCTTCTGGATTGATAATTTTAAATGGAGTCTTATATTTGAAATCGGGAGCTTTGAAATATTTAGGTACATCGTTCTCTTTTAACTTTAAAATTCGTAGACGATGTCTTCTTGATCAAAATGTACCTTAAAAAATAATTTTAAAAATACATAAGAAAGGACTTTACAGAATAAATACTTCACAATTTTTGAAAGTGGAGCCGATTTTCCAATTTGGACACCTCAAACTTTCTTTCCAAAAAGCATGATGATGGTCTTCTCTCCGCTCCCCGCTTCAGAACAAATATAAAGATTAATCACACTAGAGATCGGGTGGGTGGGTGGGGTTTATCCTTAGATTTTCTTAGTACATATACATAATAGCAGTGACTATGTATTTAAAAGACCGGCAACCCCGTATCCTTATGCGTACCAGTGAGTTAATATTGGCGGTCAGATGGCGCCCCAAAATGCGACAAAAGCCCTCTAACCTTCAATGGTTGTTACTAATACCATTGTTTAAGTATATTATAGTTGGACAACCTATACGGACAATCACTTTCCCATGTAGAAAAGAATGAATATATATTTTACATCTCACTCGCTTCACTATGAAGTGGCGGTACCTTACGAAAGGGGGTAAAAATAGTCCGTAAGCACGTATACCTATTATCCATGAACTGCATGGCTAACAAATATGCGTCCCTTCGTCCACTTTAAAGGTATACGAAATTAAACGACCACTACTTTAATTAATAAGTAACAAGTCATCTAATTTGCCTCCAGAATAACATGGATTATCATCAAACTATGAACACCAAATTAATTCAATATGAACATCTTTTTACGTATTTTTTTTATTAACAGTAGTCAAATCATTAAATACATATTATTTTTGAAACTAAAATGCATTTTATCCTAAGATTGTATCACAAAGTATTCATCACTATTTAAATATATACGATTTAGACATCAAGAAATAAATTTAAAATTGCAAAAATTATACTAAAACAGCCTTAAATGTGTCTTGTATGTACGTGCTTATCAGTATGTAGGCATTTTAACGCACAGCAATAATCGTTCTTGATGAGTAATGACTGATGACTACTGTAACACAGTAAATCCTCGAAATCGAAAATTTAAAACACTGAAAAATTCAAATATGGAAAAATTGTAAAATCGAGAAATCGAAACATAAAAAAATCAAAAAAATAAAAAAAATTTAAAAATCGAGAAATTGAACAATCGGTTAATTCAAAAATCGAAAGATCGAAAAATTGGAAAATCGAAAAATAAAAAAAAATTGGACAATCGAAAATTTAAAAATTCCGAAAATTGAAAAATTGAAATATAGAGAACTGAAAACTCAAAAAATCGAAAAAAAATAATAATTTCAAAAATTGAAAAGTTAAAATTGAGAAATCGAAAAACTGAAAAATCACAAAATTGAACGAAATATCAAAAAATTAGGAAATTAAAAAACTGAGAAACAAAAAAGTCAAAAAATCAGAGTCTAAAAATCGCAAACTTAAAAAATCGAAAAATTGAAAAATCAAAAACCTGAATAATCGAAAAATTGAAGAACTGAAGAACTGAAAAATCGAAACTTTAGGAAGTGGAAAAATGGGAATATAAAAAAATAGATTAATTGAGAAATCCAAAAACTAAAAATTCAGAAACGTCAAAATTTGAAAAATAAAAAAATATTGAAGAACTAAAAAATCGAAAAATCTAAAATTTAAAACACTGAAAAGTTAAAATATCCTAAAACAGAAAAATGGAGAAATCCAAACATCAAAAAATCAAAACTAAAAATAAAAATCTAAAATTTAATAATCGAAAAACTGAAAAATCAACGAATCGAGAAGTCGAGAATTTAAAAATTGGACAATTGAAAAATCGGATAAATCAAAAATCGAAACATCGAAAAATCGAGAAACCGAAAAGCAAAAAATCGAAAAACCAACAAATCGAAAAATCGAAACATTGTAAAATTCAAAAATTGAGACATCGAGAAATCGAAAAATCAAAAGACAAAAGAAATCGAGGAGTCGAAAAATCGAGAAGTCGAAAAATCAAAAAATTGAGAAACCGAAGTAGGCCAAAATCGAAAAATCGAAAACTTAAATATGGAAAAAATTGATAAAGCGAGATTGAATAATCAAAACATCGAAACATCCGAATCTCAATGAATTGAGATCTCAAAAAATTTAAACATTCGTAAATTTAAAAAATTAAAATATAGAACTGGAAACTCGAGAAACTGAAAAATCTAGAAATTTAAAAATTAAAATTTGAAAAAGTTGAAAAATTGAGAAATTAAAATAAAAAACAAAAAACTGAAAATCCAAAAATAAAAAATAGAAAAATCTAGAAGTCGAAAAATGAAAGAATCGAAGTACTGAAAAATATCAAAACTGAAAGAAATATCCAAAAATTGAGAAATCGACAAACCAATAAAGCGAAGTCGAAAAATCGAAGAATTGAAGAACTGAAAAATCGAAACTTTGAGAAGTGGGAAAATCAAAAATAGATTAATTGAGAAATCAGAAAACTGAAAATTTAACGCAAAAATTTGAAAAATTCAAAAATTTAAATACTGAAGAACTGAAAAGTAAAAAAATCGAGAAATCGAAAAAACTAAAATTTAAAACAATGAATAATTAAAATATCGCAAAATTGAAGAATCGAGAGATCCAATTCAATTTGAAAAATTGAAAAATCGAGGTATTGAAAAATTGGAAAATCCAGAAATTGAAAAGCTCAAAAGAAAAAAATTGAAAAACCGAGAAATCCAAAAATCGAAACATCGAAAAATTCAAAAACTGAGACTTCGAGAAATCGAAAAATCGGAGGATCGAGAAATTGAAGAGTCGGAAGCCGAAAAGGAAAGTTAAAAATTGAAAAATTGAGAAATCGAACAATCAAAACAACGAAACATCTGAATTCGATAAATTGAGAAATTAAAAAATTGAATAATCGAAAAATTTTAAAAAAGAAAAACTGGAAAATCAAAAATTAAAATTCAAAAAATCGAAAAATGAAAAATTGAAATATAGAAGAACTGAAAACTCGAGATATCGAAAAACCTAGAATTTTAAAAAATGAAATATTAAAACATCGAAAAGTTTAAAAATTGAGAAATCGAAGCATTAAACAGTCCCAGAATTGAAAAATCTAAAGTTTACAATAAATGAAAATCCAAAAAGGAAAAAAGCGAGAAATCAAAAAAAATCCATCAATTCAAAAATCGAAAAGATTTCATAACTGAAAGAAATATTAAAAAAATTGAGAAATTAAAAAACTGGAAAATTGAGAAATCGAAAATCTAAAAAAGCAAAATTGAAAAATCGTAATCTTAAAAAATCGAAAAATTGAGGAATTGAAGATGTGAAAAATCGAAACTTTAGGAAATCCAGAAATGGACAAATAAAAAAAATACTTTAGAAATCGGCAAACTGAAAATTTAGAAACGTGAAAATTTGAAAAATTGAAAAATCGAAATATTTAAAAACTGTAAAATTGAAGAGGACAAAAATTGAGAAA